GAAGAGAGAGAGAGAGAGAGAGAGAGAGAGAGAGAGGAGAGAAGAGAGAGAGAAAGAGATAGAGAGAGGAGGAGAGAGAGAGGAAGAGAGAGAGGGAGAGAGAGAGAGAGAGAGAGAGAGAGAGAGAGAGAGAGAGAGAGAGAGAGAGAGAGAGGGAGAGGAGAGAGAGAGAGAGAGAGAGGGAGAGAGAGAGAGAAAGAGAGAGATAAGGGGAGAGAGAGAGAGAGAGAGAGAGAGAGAGAAGAGAGAGAGAGAGAGAGAGAGAGAGAGAGAGAGGCAGTGAGAGACGATCCCCCTCAATCCCGTCACTCTTCCCCCCATCAATCCCGCCGCCAATCCTCCCCCCCTCAGTCAATCCCGTCCCCAATCCCACCGTTAATCCTGTCGCCCTTCCCCCCGTCAATCCCGTCGCACTTCCCCCCGTCAATCCCGTCGCACTTCCCCCTGTCGATCCCGTCGCCCTTCCCCCCGTCAATCCCGTCCCCCTTCCCCCCGTCAGTCCCGTCGCCCTTCCCCCTGTGAATCCCGTCGCCCTTCCCCCCGTCAATCCCGTCGCCCTTCCCTTTCAACTTAGGTTTTGGTGTCATACGTTTTTGGATTCGCGTTTAACATCTAGGCATAGAAAACAGGTTGAGCGTAGAAAATGCGGAATACAAACTACTCTAACGACTCACATCCAAGCTTGGAATTGTGAGGAATGTCCCTACCCAAGCTCCAAACAGAGGAGAGAGTGAGCTGCAGAGAGAAAGAGGAAAATGCAACGTTGTGAAGCCGTCGTGTGGTGTGTGTGTGTGTGTGTGTGTGTGTGTGTGTGTGTGTGTGTGTGTGTGTGTGTGTGTGTGTGTGTGTGTGTGTGTGTGTGTGTGTGTGTGTGTGTGTGTGTGTGTGTGTGTGTGTGTGTGGTGTGTGTGTGTGTGTGTGTGTGTGTGTGTGTGTGGGTGTGTGTGTGTGTGGTGTGTGTGTGTGTGTGTGTGTGTGTGTGTGTGTGTGTGTGTGTGTGTGTGTGTGTGTGTGTGTGTGTGTGTGTGTGTGTGTGTGTGTGTGTGTGTGTGTGTGGTGTGTGTGTGTGTGTGTGTGTGTGTGTGTGTGTGTGTGTGTGTGTGTGTGTGTGGTGTGTGTGTGTGTGTGTGTGTGTGTGTGTGTGTGTGTGTGTGTGTGTGTGTATGTGTGTGTGTGTGTGTATGTGTGTGTGTGTGTATGTGTGTGTGTGTGTGTGTTTTTTTTTTTTTGGGTATTGTATTGTATTGTATACTATTGGAAGTGATGGCGGTCTGGTTAGCCTAACTAGTATGACTTGGGCAGTATGTGTTATGAATTGAACTGTCGAGTAGCGCGGAGGGCAATGGCAAAACTGTGAACGAGTGAATGACAATAAAATGAAAGACAATACAATATGTAGGAAACCTAGGGTGATCCTGGACTTAGGATTGGAAGGTTCGGGAAAAGTGTCGAAGGGCCTCGATGTGTCGAATCGAGGTCCGGAAAGACCCAGGAGGCTCGAACTAAAAGGTCTGGAACCCTATCGCTGGTTCGAGACTGTTCGAGTCGTACGCCCTGTAGCAAGCCTCAGTAAGGAATTGTTAATTCCTTACAATATGCAACAGGCCCAAGGTTCGAATTCAGGCATCACAGTAGGTGTTGTTTTGAAACCAGTCCCAATCTACTTGTGAAATGATTCATGCATGTATCAGAATTGAGAAGTGAATGATTGATAGAGTGAGAGTGCACACAGATATACCTAAGTGTTGTACTCTCTAAGAGGCGACCCTATACAGTCTATACAAACATGACAAATACACATGTTTGACACACCCCCTAGACTGCATAGGGGAATGCCCTAAACAAGCAGCTCAGGGCGGCACTACTAGTCCAACCTCTGAGACAAGGGTCTGAGAGACCAGTCAGAAGGAGTACAAACAAGGCAAGAACAAGAGCAGGGCGGCACTACTAGTCCAGCCACTGGGAGAGGACACAAGTCCAGTCTGAGTATACGTATAAAGGACAGTACAAAGTCAAGGTCCTAGCAAGTGAGAGGCTACAGGAACTAGACCAAGCTGTACACAGTGCCGCTGATGATCTTTAGGCGCAAGCGCCTTCGTAAAGATATCAGCCGTGTTGGCACCTGAGGCCAAGTGTACTACGCGAGCCTGACGTCGCTGCTGTAGCTCACGCAGGAGGAAGTACCGCAGCTGAATGTGCTTTGCTCTGCCCTCGAGTCGAGGCTCCTGACACAGGAGGATCATGGCCCTGTTGTCAGCGAACAGGACCGGGGCAGAGCTAGGCCGCTCACCTAAGTCAGTGAGCAAGAAGGTCAGCCAGCGGAGCTCCTGTGCCGCCATGGCACCAGCGTAGATCTCAGCCTCACAGCTGGACTGCGCAACAGACGAGGAGCGGGTAGCCCTCCACGAGACGGCACCTGAGCCAAGGCTGAAGCAGTAGCCCTGGGTAGACCTGAGTGTCTCAGCGTCGTCTGCCCACGAAGCGTCTGTGTGTCCAGTAAGGACCACTGGCCTGCGTCCTCCTAGCACTAACCCCATGCCTGATGTACTAGCAAGATAACGCAGAACCCTCTTAGCGGCAGACCAGTGCTGCGGTCGGTGTCTGCCTGTGGCCACAAAGCGAGCCAGGATGCTGAGAGGGTATGCGAGATCTGGGCGAGTGCAAGTCATCAGGTACATGAGGCAACCCACCAGCTTTGCGTAGAGGCCGCTGGGCTCTCCAGGAGGGCGCTTCACCTTGAAGAGCCAGCGGCCATCGACTACGTTCACCCCAGGTGGGGGAACTGCGTCGACGAAGGTGCCAGTGGATCTCCAAGATGCCATCTCCTGCTCCATGGCAGCTATCCACTGCGAGGCCCAGGGTCCCGAAGTCGCCTCAGCGTAAGTGCGAGGGGTCGGGATGTCGAAAGCGTCTGGGTCACCCTCAGGGACTAGCAGCATGGAACAGAGATGGGGAGCAGCCTAGGAGAGGAAAGCAAGCTCGAACTGGCGGTCCTCCAGGACGTCACTGCCAAGGGCAGAAGCACCCCCGACAGACGGAGGACAGGCAGGGTCAGAGACAAGAGCGGAGGCGTAGTCAAGGCGGCGGGTAGAGGCGAAGTCAGCGACAGCAGCGACAAGAGCGTCAAGGCACGAGACCGGAACAGACGGGTCGGTAACGAGGGAGGCAAGGACCCGAGGAACGAGAGGACGAGCGGCACAAAGGTAGTCGGACAGCGGGGGGGGCGCAACAACAAGGGAGGACGGAGGAGGCGACGGCAGAAGGGGAGGACGAGACGCGTGGGAACGAAGCAACATAGGGTGGGAGCGCAAGACAGGCGAGGCAGGACGAGCTCGGGAGGGACGGTGAGACCAGACGTGCGACGGAGGAGTCGGGTCAGGAGACAGAGGAGGGGACACAGGAGGGGAACGAGGGGGGAGACGGGCCGGGGACGAGTCCGGCGGAGGGAAGACAGGGCCGTAGACAGGAAGAGGAGGAGACGGCCGGGGAGGAACAGACGCAGGGTCGGGGGACGGAAGGCCGAGCAGGCGAAGGGCTGACACCGGTGGGGACTGCTGCTGCGGCGGCACAACGGCGACACCTGGACCGCAAGCTGCTCCTCGGCTACCACCGGCACTCTCCACACCAGCACCCCCAGAGGGATCACCCCCAGGGCTACCGGGACGAGCACCCCCAGAGTCAGCGAACGGGTGCTGCGACGGCGGCGGCGGCGGTGGCGGCGGCGGCAGCGACAACGACGGCTGCAGCGGCGGCAGAGGCGGTGGAGGGGGGGACTGGGGAGGGGACGCTAGGGGAGGGGCGGCCGGCGAGGACTGAACAGGAGGGCCACCAGAGTAAGAAGACTCCTCAATCGGGTCCACCAACGGAAGGGGGGTGACGTGGGACACACCAGAGGGGGCGGGACGTGGAGGAGGAGGAGGAGGGGCAGGGACTACCAGGGAAGGAGTGACCAGGAACAGGGGGGGGTAACCGGGGGACCACGGTAGGGGAAGCGACGGTATTAGGAGACGGACTCGTCAAAGGTGACTTCACGAGAGTGAAAGAAGCGGTGAGACGGCGGGTGGTAAAAGTGCCAGTCAAGGGGAAAGCCGAGGAAGACGCAGGGAAGGGTGCGGGCAGTGAGCTTGTCCGTGCCGGAAGGGGTCGGCCACAAGTTAAGCTGGTGAGAAGCGTAGCGCACAGCGAACGGCCACAGAAAATGGGGTGCACCGGCATGGATCATGGAGGTGCGAGCCACCTCCATGACCAAACCAATGCGTCGCTCAGCGACCCCATTCTGCTGTGGGGAGTCCGGTAGGGTGAACGTCTGGGTGATGCCCTCCGCACGACAAAAGCGACCAAGGACACCTGAGGCAAACTCGCCACCACGGTCGGAGTGAAGACGCAAGACAGGGAGACCGCGGTGGACACGCGCAGAGACAAGCCAGGGGATGAGAGCGCCAGGCACGTCGGCCTTGCGCTCCAGGGGAAAGACTGTGGTGTAACGAGTGAAGTCGTCGACAAGCACAAGGAAGTAGCGCTCTCGACGCGGCCCAGGGACGGGAGCGGGGCCCCAGACGTCCAGGTGCAGGGTCTGCAGCGGCGCGGCGGTAGGGGGAAACGAGGAGGAGTGCGGGGCACGGCGAAGCCGACCCTCGACACAAGGCGTACAAGGTGGGGCTGGGGAGGAGGGAAACGCGGGGAGGGAACCTGGGAGACCAAGGACAAGACCGTGCTGGGACATGTGACGGAGGCGCGGGAGCGCAAGGTGACCTAGGCGGTGGTGCCAAAGGAGAGTCGGGTGAGTGAGGGACCGACAGGAGCAGGCAGCAGCAACCTGGGTAGACGCAGCCACCTGAGGAGGCGCCCCAGCCGGGGGGGTCACGGTGTCCAGAGTGAACAGGCCAGACACCGGGTCCCGGGGGAACGTGGACAGGGGGGCACCAGTGGCGGCCTCGGTACAGACAGCATACCGCTCGTGACCAGGGGAAATAGTGGTGACACCAAGGTCCTGCAGGCAGCCGACAGCAACTAGGTTCCTGGAGAACGAGGGGATATGCAGACCTGTGAGAGTGCCCGAAGGAACCGCCGGACAGGGAAGGGTGGTGGAACTGCGGGCGACTACCGGACCGCCGGAGGGGTCAGCAAGAGAGACGGCAGCTGGGACAGGAATCGGCGTCACGGTGGTGGAGTCGCGTAAGCAACACCGAGAAGCGCCAGAGTCCAAGGTGAAGGAAAGCGAAGCAGAGGCGTCTGGCAACGGAACGACAGCACCAAGATTACACAAAGCAGGGGATCCTACGCCTGACGCAGCAGGGGAGGCTAAGCTAGGCACACCTACACTAGGCAACAGTGAGTACTAAGCGGGAGGCACACTAGAGTCATCAGCATACATCACATGGAGAGCAGCAACAATGACATCCATGTCCATATCAAAAATCTGAATCTTACGACTAAGCAAACTGTGCCAGTCCAGGAGGTCTGGCGACGGGCCGAAGCGCTGACGAAAGAGGTCGTCCAGGCGACGAAAACAGCGGGGAGTGGAGTGACCGAGCCTACCGCAAACGAAACCGCGGCGAGGACCGGTCTGGATCTGGTACTGACAACGCCCGCCGCCAGAGCCACCACTCGGCACACCACCACGCGCCCGGCCACCGCCTGCGCCCGGCCACCCGGTGGGAGGACACTCGTCTGCCGCGTCTGCGACGGCTGCTGCGGCTGCTGCGAAGGCTGCGACTGCGGCGGCTGCTGCGGCTGCTGCAACTGCAGGGGCGGCGGCTCAGCTGGACTGGGCAGGGTCCCCTCGTCCGCTCCAGCACCAGACGACCCGACCCCACCACTACCCCCTCCCGCACCCCCGCCGCCGCCGCCGCCGCGCCCAACCTTGGGGCGGCGACCCTTCCCCGAACGAAACTGCGCTGCAACAGCAGTCTCAGCCATTGCGGCAGAGCCGTCGGAGAAGGTACACTGGGCGGGGGCACAACCCTGAAAGATAGGGACCGGTACGACACCGCTCGCCTGGGCGATGGAGCGGTGACGGGTCTCTATCACAGTCAGGGTGTCTACAAAGTCAGTGAGGGTGAGGTCTACGGGGTGAATGCTAAGGAAGCGGTCGCGGGCGACAGCAAGGCGGTCAGGGAGGCGGGTGGCAAGCAGGTAGAGGGTAGAGGTAATGGGCGGCTGGTGGGCTCTAAGCTGTGCATCAGTGCAGGCTGCACGCCAGGTCTCATCTATCGAGTGCAGGTGGGCAGCGAGGTCAGAGACAGTGGGGAAAGATGCAAGGTCAGGAAAGAGCATCGGGAGGATCAGGGGACCCACCGAGGCAGCCGGAGGGGTGGAATAGCGCTGGATGACAGCATCTAAGTATGCCTGAGCACTGGTGAGAGACCTAAAGCGAGGGCGCTCGGACGGGGGAAGGGCGTTGCTGATGGCAAGCTGGGCGACAGCATCGCGAGAAAGCCAGACAGAGCGCGCACGGGCAGTGGCAGCAGCGGACTCGCGCTCAGTAGGTGTGGAGTCAGCGGGCAGAATAGCAGGGGGGTCTGGGCAGGGGAGCGTACCGTCAAGGTGTGCGGAGAGCGGTTCACCATCCTGCCGCTGGCCAGTGAGTTGGCGACGGAGGTCGGCAAGCCACGCCTTGAACTCCCGAGGCTGGCCTTCAGCGTCGAAGCGAAGCTCCGCCGCCATCAGGAACAGTGCAGTGCGGTGCAAGGCAGTGCAGCAAGGTGGAGTGCGGTGCCGTGCGGTGCAGTGCGGTGTAGGGCGGTGCAGTGCGGTGCCAGGCAGTACAGGGTGGTGCGGGGCGGTGCGGTGCGGGGCAGTACGGTGCAGGGCAGTGCAGGGCGGGGGGGGGGGGGGGGGGAAACCGTACCAGTGAGGAGGACCGGGGCCGGGGCAGGGACGAGCGCAGGGGCCGGGCCAGTGCATCGGGGCCGGGCGGGCGCGACGGGGCCGGGCTGGCGCGACGGGGCCGGGCTGGTGCGACGGGGCCAGGCGGGTGCGTCGGGTCCGGGCTGGTGCGACGGGGCCGGGCCGGTGCGACGGGGCCGGGCGAGCAGGACGGTGGCCCAGGAGGGGTGCACCGGGGCTGGGCGGGCGCGACGGGGCCGGACGGCTGCGACGGGGCCGGGCAGGGGGCGACGGGGCCGGGCGGGTGCAACGGGGCCGGGCGGGCGTGACGGGGCCGGGCTGGTGCGACAGGGCCGGGCTGGTGCGACGGGGCCGGGCGGGCGCGACGGGGCCTGAAGGCGTGACGGGGCCCAGGAGGGAAGGGCTCGACGCGGCCCAGGAGGGGCGCTACGGGGCCCAGGAGGGGCACGACGGGGGCCCAGGAGGGGCGCTACAGGGGCCCAGGAGGGGCGCGACGGGGCCCAGGAGGGGCGCTACGAAGCCCAGGAGGGGCGCGACGAGGCCCAGGAGGGGCGCTACGGGGCCTAGGAGGGGCGCGACGGGGCCTGGGAGGGTTGCGACGGGGCCCAGGAGGGGCGCTACAGGGCCCAGGAAGGGCGCGACGGGGCCTAGGAGGGGCGCTACGGGGCCCAGGAGGGGCGCGACAGGGCCCAGGAGGGGCGCTACGGAGCGCAGGAGGGGCGCGACGGGGCTTGGGAGGGGCGCGACGGGTCCCAGGAGGGGCGCGACGGGGCCCAGGAGGGGCGCTACAGGGCCTAGGAGGGGCGCGACGGGGCCCAGGAGGGGCGCTACAGGGCCCAGGAGGGGCGCGACAGGGCCCAGGAGGGGCGCTCCAGCACCAGACGACCCGACCCCACCACTACCCCCTCCCGCACCCCCGCCGCCGCCGCCGCCGCGCCCAACCTTGGGGCGGCGACCCTTCCCCGAACGAAACTGCGCTGCAACAGCAGTCTCAGCCATTGCGGCAGAGCCGTCGGAGAAGGTACACTGGGCGGGGGCACAACCCTGAAAGATAGGGACCGGTACGACACCGCTCGCCTGGGCGATGGAGCGGTGACGGGTCTCTATCACAGTCAGGGTGTCTACAAAGTCAGTGAGGGTGAGGTCTACGGGGTGAATGCTAAGGAAGCGGTCGCGGGCGACAGCAAGGCGGTCAGGGAGGCGGGTGGCAAGCAGGTAGAGGGTAGAGGTAATGGGCGGCTGGTGGGCTCTAAGCTGTGCATCAGTGCAGGCTGCACGCCAGGTCTCATCTATCGAGTGCAGGTGGGCAGCGAGGTCAGAGACAGTGGGGAAAGATGCAAGGTCAGGAAAGAGCATCGGGAGGATCAGGGGACCCACCGAGGCAGCCGGAGGGGTGGAATAGCGCTGGATGACAGCATCTAAGTATGCCTGAGCACTGGTGAGAGACCTAAAGCGAGGGCGCTCGGACGGGGGAAGGGCGTTGCTGATGGCAAGCTGGGCGACAGCATCGCGAGAAAGCCAGACAGAGCGCGCACGGGCAGTGGCAGCAGCGGACTCGCGCTCAGTAGGTGTGGAGTCAGCGGGCAGAATAGCAGGGGGGTCTGGGCAGGGGAGCGTACCGTCAAGGTGTGCGGAGAGCGGTTCACCATCCTGCCGCTGGCCAGTGAGTTGGCGACGGAGGTCGGCAAGCCACGCCTTGAACTCCCGAGGCTGGCCTTCAGCGTCGAAGCGAAGCTCCGCCGCCATCAGGAACAGTGCAGTGCGGTGCAAGGCAGTGCAGCAAGGTGGAGTGCGGTGCCGTGCGGTGCAGTGCGGTGTAGGGCGGTGCAGTGCGGTGCCAGGCAGTACAGGGTGGTGCGGGGCGGTGCGGTGCGGGGCAGTACGGTGCAGGGCAGTGCAGGGCGGGGGGGGGGGGGGGGGGGGAAACCGTACCAGTGAGGAGGACCGGGGCCGGGGCAGGGACGAGCGCAGGGGCCGGGCCAGTGCATCGGGGCCGGGCGGGCGCGACGGGGCCGGGCTGGCGCGACAGGGCCGGGCTGGTGCGACGGGGCCAGGCGGGTGCGTCGGGTCCGGGCTGGTGCGACGGGGCCGGGCCGGTGCGACGGGGCCGGGCGAGCAGGACGGTGGCCCAGGAGGGGTGCACCGGGGCTGGGCGGGCGCGACGGGGCCGGACGGCTGCGACGGGGCCGGGCAGGGGGCGACGGGGCCGGGCGGGTGCAACGGGGCCGGGCGGGCGTGACGGGGCCGGGCTGGTGCGACAGGGCCGGGCTGGTGCGACGGGGCCGGGCGGGCGCGACGGGGCCTGAAGGCGTGACGGGGCCCAGGAGGGAAGGGCTCGACGCGGCCCAGGAGGGGCGCTACGGGGCCCAGGAGGGGCACGACGGGGGCCCAGGAGGGGCGCTACAGGGGCCCAGGAGGGGCGCGACGGGGCCCAGGAGGGGCGCTACGAAGCCCAGGAGGGGCGCGACGAGGCCCAGGAGGGGCGCTACGGGGCCTAGGAGGGGCGCGACGGGGCCTGGGAGGGTTGCGACGGGGCCCAGGAGGGGCGCTACAGGGCCCAGGAAGGGCGCGACGGGGCCTAGGAGGGGCGCTACGGGGCCCAGGAGGGGCGCGACAGGGCCCAGGAGGGGCGCTACGGAGCGCAGGAGGGGCGCGACGGGGCTTGGGAGGGGCGCGACGGGTCCCAGGAGGGGCGCGACGGGGCCCAGGAGGGGCGCTACAGGGCCTAGGAGGGGCGCGACGGGGCCCAGGAGGGGCGCTACAGGGCCCAGGAGGGGCGCGACAGGGCCCAGGAGGGGCGCTACAGGGCCTAGGAGGGGCGCGACGGGGCCCAGTGAGGGGTCGCGACTGGGCTAGGGGCTAGAGGGGTGAGCGGAAGCGGTAGGTGGGGGGGGATCCTACCTACGCGTGATACTATATCAGAATTGAGAAGTGAATGATTGATAGAGTGAGTGTGCACACAGATATACCTAAGTGTTGTACTCTCTAAGAGGCGACCCTATACAGTCTATACAAACATGACAAATACACATGTTTGACAGCATGTTGTCTCTATTTTCTTCAAATGTATAAATATTTCTTCATACAAACTTGTCCAATTAATAATTTACAAATAAACATAATAACATAACATTCCATATTCTAGAGATCCGCAACCCTCAGACGATCTCTTCGCCTCTTGTTTTTTTCTGCCTGCTCCCAATATTGAATATGTATTTCCTTGGCAAATAGTTTGACTGGAAATCTCCAAGACTATCTATGGGCGGGTATGATGCTTGTAAGGCGAATGCCTCGTCGCATCGCAATTCATGTGGGAATAACTGAACTTGACTGTGGATAGCACGGCTCGCCAAATGGCAGGTCGTCGTTTGTCTTGCATCTTGACTACCTGCCATTGATGGACGGAAGGAGCGGACGGCACTCTTTCGCGACAAGAAACATGCCTTCGTTCGTAGTCGCAGTCGTGTTACGGTAAGCATGGAATCCGTTAGCGACATCAAATCACACCCTCGCATGTTTTCGCACTGTTCGCGGTTCTTCGAATTTTGCTCCGCAGTCAGAGTTAGGTATCCCTCAAATCTGTCTTTGAGTTTGGTATCTCTCCATTCTATTTGAGTTTGGTACCTCTCAAATCTTTTCTATTCGGGGCCTCGGTTTCTGCATTCCTAATTTTCGGAACCTGAATCCGAGACACTCAGCACAATCCGTTCCGCTTCAGCTCAGACCATGGCTACCACCGCAATCTCCAAGGAGGTGAGCTTACGGCGCGCTGAGCGCCACATGCCATTTGCAATTTTGGTCCTGAGTTACCGCCAGATATCCGCACGCGACACTAGTAGGTACTAGCATCTGACATCTTGGAACCTACTGATGCAAGCGATTTCCCCTGATTATCCTCCCAGGCTGCTCCCGCCGCCGTGGCGGCGATTCAGAAGAACTTTCCGGGCTCCGTGGAAGAAACCGGTTACATTGCGACGGTTGCGGACAAGCTGAAGAAGCACGGGTTCACCAAGGACAACAGCATCGCGCTCGTCAGCACGTGCCGCGACGAGGCGTCTCGCATCCTTGACGCCGCCATTGACAAGCACTTCGGGCTTACCTTCGCACTCAACGGTCTCGCGGGAGTTCCGCCCGGCGGCGCGCTCGCGATCAAGGCCGGCGCGTCGCACAGCCCGCAGGACGAGAATGGCAAGGAGCGATGTGAGTGGCGATGGTCGCAATGTGATTGTAGCAGGTGTGATGTGAGTGACTCCAAGAGTGATATTATCAGATGCGATGTGAATGCGTATGTTTGAGCTGTGCTGGCAATGCGTGAATGGCATGATGACACTTTCCACGGAACAATGTGAGCAGGTGAACCGGAAGGAAGTTCGACGCTGCACGGAAAATGGGCTCGATCGCTGGCTTTCCAGTTGACTCGAAACTTGCCCAAGTATATCCGACCGCGCTTCCCTCTCCCTCTCTATCCCCCTTTCTATCCTTCGCAGCCATCTTCTTCGCCCTCATGCACATCGGCATCGACGAGGTGACTTGGAGTCGACTCGGAACTCCCCTTATCCCACCGCCCTTCACATCCCGTGCTTCTCCCCTCACGCCCTTGCAGACGTCTTCTTCGCCCTCACGCACATCGGCATCGACGAAACCGGGCACGTCGGCAGCATGCGTCGCGCCGGTCGCCCCGCGCTTTCCCACGCGTGCGGCGCGCTGCTCGCGCTGACGGCGCAGTTCAGCGCGAGCAAGGAGCTGCCGAAGGCGTCGGATGACGACTTGGAGCTGCACTACCTCACGAAGAAGCTGCTCGCGAAGAACCCCGTGCCGAACATCGTGGCGGTTACCAAGGCGGCGGTGGATGTTATCAACAGTACGCTGGAGCACCTGATCAGCGTGGCTGTGGACAGCAAGAAAGCGGATTATGCTGTTATTACTGGCGTGCAGATCCACTCCGGGAACAACGTAAGTCGGCATACCCCTCTCAATCTACGCTATCGTCCTCTCCTTCATCTAGCCGCTCCCCCACAATCAACAGCTCCCCGGTCCGGCATTTAGCCAGCATCTCGTTTCCTGTCCCGCAGCCAGGCCACTCAAGCCGGAAAATAATACTCCTGAGCTTCGCTGCTGCCGTCTCCTACGCCGGTGCACTGTGTCTGTCAGCCCTGAAACTAGCATTTCGCTACCTCGCCCCAGTGCGTGAATCAGCAAACTTTACTCGGTAAAGACTCCCCCTATGTTATAATCCCCCCTTGTGCCATCTTTTTCCTGCAGCCCCCCGGCACGCCATTCAAGCTGGAGAACACGGTGGAGTACATCACCCCCTCCCTCGCTTACGTGGTCGTGAATGGAGTCAAGACGACCCTGTAGATTCCTGCCACGTGGTTTTTATTTATCCATGGTTTGGATGGATGACGCGGGTAGCAGGGCTTCTGCGAAAGCCTTGGAGCAGGGATTGGCGAACACTATTTTCCCTGCATTCCATCTAGTGTAGATCGGGTGGATATGTAATCTCCTTGTCTAATAATATTATTGAAACGACATCAAGCATGTAGGGAAGCTTCCCCAATAATACGCCCGTGCTGAGAGAGTCCATGCATACAAAATCTGGAGCCAAGTGACCAGAAATCATCATAGACTAGATTCTGCCCCTGAAGTGGGCCGTATTTTCCGTACGAAAGATTCAATGCCACTTGGAAAAACTGAATTGAAGGGAATGTTTGTTCTAGCCAAGCCACCTTTCTTACAGATAGTAGAAAACATGCTTTTAGAATCATTGTTACACATGTGTTAAGGTTTCAGCTACTTCCACTTTCCGCTGAAAATGGGGGCAGGCCCCATGGAACAGGATCGAAGTCCAAGAGTGATGGAAGAACCAGTGAAGCGTTAGTGCAGAGAGAGGCATCCACATTCGAATCTGGTACCATCACCACCCACCTGTAAGTGGGGAGAAAGGAGGAGTGCACAAGAGATAAGGCGACTAATACAGTGAAATCGCTGATAATGGAGATCTACACAAACCATGACAAGTGCCCTAAAAAGAAGTGCAAAAAAACAGACCACAAATTCATACGCAAAGTTGTGTGTAGACACGAGATGGGTACACTCACATGCCAGCATTCCTGGCAGCATCAACGCCAAGGGGAGCATCCTCGAACACTAGCACGTTGTCTGGTGACGGTGGAGGCTGGTGGGAGGACGGGGCAAGATAGACAGACAGGGATAGACCCAGAAGGGCAGATGGGGAGGAAGTGAGTTGGTTGGCAGCATCAATGTCGAGGGAAGCATCAGCTCTAGTGAGTTGGTTCCGAGTGCCAGCTTGCTGTGTGGTGGATGAACAATGCTGCCCTAGACTACACCATGTACTCATGCCCTTCACTCATGCCCTTCACTCATGCCCTTCACTCACATCGAACCTAGCCCCAGCAACTCTAAAGATCCTGAGTGCCGGCTTGCCGAGCGATAATGGCAGCATTATTCTGCCCAAGATCGAAACCCTTGACTCGCATCGAACCTAGCTGCTGCTACTCTGAAAACGTCAGGAGGCAGCTTGCGGATGGGCACCTCGGGATCATCCCCCCCAGCAGACAGTTGTGTATGAGCACAACGCTTCCCTGAATGCACAATCCCCAGATCATCACGCCCTTCACTCATACCCTCACTCACATCGAACCTAGCTGCGGCTACTCTGAAAACGTCAGGAGCCGGCTTGCCATTGGGCACCTCGGGATCATCCCCGAGAACGCAGTGGTGAATGAGGGCGAATAGACCCCCGTGGTTGGATGTCTTTAGGCCGAAATGGATCTTGTGGGACCTGTGGGCAGCAAGGCAAGAAGGGGAGGGAGGGAGGCTAGTTGTGGGGCACCTTGCTGTGGAGCTTGCAACAAGCTCCCCTCCACAGCCATGTTGGGCTGGGTAATGCGGAAAAGCATTGCGGTGTTTGACAGTTCGAATCATCGCCAAGTGTGCTAAACGGCTATGAGAACTAATGTCACTGTTTGCCTCGCAATTACGTTTATCCTCCGATCCCACAAGCTGCTGAGCTCCGTCGGCCAACAGCGACAAGATTTCTCATGGCCGCCCTTTCTTTGAGGCGCCTTAAAACTGAACTGGATCGGCAAACAGCGACAAGGGTACTCATAACCGCCCTTCGCACTTGGGGATAATACCCGGCCCTCAAATCCCATCCCAATATAGCCATCGTTACCCAACCCATCCCAACATAGCCATGAACGAGGGGGAGCAAACTGTTTTCGATTGGACTAAAAAAAACATATTCCTCATTACCCATCGTTACCCAACCCATCCCAAGATAGCCATGAACGAGGGGGAGCAAAGTGAGTTGCTGACTATCTTTCGTTATTGGCAGCTATTGGCAGCTTTCACGCTGCGGGTGATGCCATGCTTAAGTAGAGCGAAATGACGTCATACATTGCTGGTAGAACCGCTTTCATGTTTTTAGCCATCCATCCCCCAGAGCGCACTCACCCTGTGCCGATTGCCATGGGGATTTTGTGTGCATGCAGATGCCGAATCAACCGCTCAGCTCCTGACAATAGACAGGGATGATAGAGAAGGGGGTTGTGACGGAGAGGGATGATGGAGGGAGGGGATGGGCTGGGTTGGGTTGGGTTGGGACATCAAGGTTGATGCTTCAGGACTTGGTTAAGTGGGCAAAGTTAAGAGAGATGATGGGAACTTTTGAGACGTCTCAAAACTAAACTACTTAACCACAAATTGAGAGAAATCATCTTGTTAAGAGAAATTGGTGATCGCTTGTTTTTCGCCAAGACTCGATGTCTAAAGAAATGCTCCGTCAAGGACCTTGGCGTGCGCCAATCACCCCCACCAGCTGAGACCTTTGCTGACCCAGCTCGTCCAACACCACCAGAGCCGCCTCCCACTTTTGCAGGGTGTTTTTGAGAAATTTCAAAACACCCTGTCCAATCACCCCCACCAGCTGAGACCTTTGCTGACCCAAATCGTCCAACACCACCTGAGCTGCCTCCCACTTCTCTCATCATATAGACCTCGTTGTACAGCGCTTCAGGGGACTGCAGCAGGCACACCACCTGGCAGCAGCAGATTTTTTAGGCGCCTCAAAAAATTTCTTTTTTTGAGCCGCTCCCACTTCTCCCGTCATATAGTCCCCATTGTTGAACGGAGCTTCAGGAGACTGCAGTAGGCACACCATCTGGCAGCAGCAGCTTGCAGAGCGAGGGAGTTGCTCCCTGCGCTGATCTCCCCGTGCAGACCCAGCTCGTCCAGCACCACCTGAGCCGCCTCTGCCGCCTCTGCCGCCTCTGCTGCGTCAACCACTTTCCGCAGACTCCACCGCCATCTCCACCTTTCGTCCAAGCCTCTCAACCGCTTTCTGTACCTGGCAGCAGCTTGCAGGTGGGGAACTCCTCCCTTAATAAAGATTCTCTTTCTCGCAGGAACTCCTCTGCAGTGATCTCCCCGTGCCGTGCAGCCCCAGCTCGTCCAGCACCACCTGAGCCGCCACTGCTGCAATCAGGACTCCGCGACTTCCATACCTCGCAGCAGCAGTGACAGTCTAAGCATACCTGGCAGCAGCTTGCGCGTGGGGAACTCTTCCCTCAACAGTGTTTCTCTTTCTCGCAGGAACTCCTCTGCAGTGATCTCTCCGTGCCGTGCAGCCCCAGCTCGTCCAGCACCACCTGAGCCGCCACCCCTGTCCTCCATTCCCATCACCTCCCCATACTTCAACAACCGGCGTACCTGGCAGCAGCTGGCAGTTGGGAAATTCTTCCCTTAATAGCGATTCTCTTTCTCGCAGGAACTCCTCTGCACTGATCTCTCCGTGCAGATCCAGCTCGTCCAGCACCACCTGAGCCGCCTCTGCCGCTTTCTTCCCCATCATCTTTACCTTGAGCGCCCACGTGAACTCGCGGTTAAATCGAGACAGGATTCTCTGCTGGGCTACTGTGTACAGACCCTCGGTGTCTGAGGGAGGGGGGACAGGGGGATGGAGGGACAGGGGGGAGGCGGGACAGGGGGGAGAAGAACGGGTTTGGCGGCGGTTCTAAGGAGAAGGGGAGCATGCCCTGGCTTCTGAGGGGACTTGAGAGTGGACTCGCCTGGCAGTCCGGCACCACCTCAGCCGCCTCTGCCGCTTTCCGTGTACAGGCCTTCTGTGCCTGCCCTGGCTTATGAGGGGACTTGTGAGTGGACTCGTTTAGAAATCCAGCACCACCTGAGCCGCCTCTGCTGCTTTCTTCCCCATCATTTTCACTTTGAGCGCCCACGTGAACTCGAGGTTGAAGCGGGAGCTGAATCACCCAGAATAAATCTGCAGCTGAAATCTTAGAATTCGAAAAAAAAAATCAGCTCCGGCTCACCTAGAATGAGACCGTCCATATCGAAGACGACATGCGTGATGCGACGCGGACCTTCTTCCCCCATTGACGAACGCTGGTCGGAACAATAAGGATTTAACCGAGGGAACGGTAACGCGAGACGAGGCTCGCGTCGCGATGGAGACTAAGCGACCTGAGAAGAAGGCTGTTTGGAGTGATCCGGATTCGCGTATCCACGGGAGATTGTCGGGTGTGACCAAGACTATTTAAAGTGCACTGACGATGGACTACGAGGATCCGACGCGGAGACGCTCACGTCGCGGAACCATGCGGATCGCTCCAGAAGATGTTTCTGGAGTTACTTCTGGAGATACTACCACAGCATATTGTGGGAAACCAGACCAGAGGTATTTGATCAGAAGAGCCTGAAAGGTAAGGTTCTGGTTTTTGACTGATTCGCTGCTCGGCAATATCGGTGTGCCAGAGGGGTTGACATTACACTGTACATTGAAAATGCTGCAAATTAGCTTACCAAGGAATAACGGGAGTGGGAAAAGACAAGCCTATTCCAAACATTCACCTTGTAAACGGAGGCTTTTGTTGGGTCAGGTTCGTTCGCTTCTGTCACGCGGATTGCAATCCGCTAGGCCTGCATTTCCCGCGAAAAACTTTCGGTCCACTTCCTGCAGCAGTACCTTGCCTTGAGATGTGTTTCATTTCGCTCCAAAAGTTCGCTCGAGGTTGACGAACGAATTCTCACTGTAACCAGTTTTTCGCGAAGCGTCGGCACCTCCATCAACGGTCACCACGCCACCACCACCTCCACCAGCAGCCTGATTCTCTCGTGTGGGAGAATGGAACTCGCATTAGTCTTCTCTCCCTCCAGCCACAATCCATCAGGATCTCCAAGAAATTTGCTTAGGACGCTACTGGAGTGCAGTAGAACACTGCTAGTGTTTTCTGACAAGCTAGTTCTTAGTCTCCTAATCTGGCTCTCGCAGTGGCGCTCGCACGCTGCTGGCTTCCTCTTGCTGGTTTCTTGAAGCGTGCTCCGAGCGGGTATCGCAGAGCGGCTTTCCACAGTTAGGGTTGCGACGTCGCTGAACGTTTCTCGTGTTCGGTGATCGATCCGCTGCTGCTTGCCAAGTTTCGTGCTGAATGGGTTGATGACGGTCCGCAGACGTCAGGTCGTGGCTTCAATCGCGCTTGTAGATTTCGCCGTGACACGAGTTACTTAGTATCCAATCCGGCCTTTTCCCTCTGGACTCCCCGAATCTCGCATCTCCTAACCAATCAGAACGTCGTGCTCACGCGCCACGTATCGTCTCATGGACTCGTCGTGATCCCTAATCCCTGATCCAATTAGCATCTAACCTTTCCACCTCGATCCCGTCCACGAGTCCGTTCCGCGATGTTCGGAATCGATCTCGATGCGTCGTCGCTGCCGGAGCACGCGTTTTCAGGGACGCCAGCAGTGGTGGTGTCGCTGGTATGCACGGTGCTCGCGGTCTTCCTCTCCGTGCGGCACATCGTCATGCACCTCCGCAACTACACCGAGCCCACGTACCAGCGTTACATCGTCCGGATCATCTTCATGGTTCCCGTACGTATGATCATTCGTATTTAGACTAGACCTGGTGCTGTATTGCGCGCGTTGACCCCTCGATTAGTAACTAGCTCCTCGCTCTCACTCCTTCAAAGCCTGTCGCTTTTTGCCAAATCGAGTAGTTCGGCTTAGAGAGCTTGTTACATTGATATTTCTTTCTTTATTTCAAACGATTGACTGAATCCGTGTGTGGTTTTGCTTCAGGTATACGCGACAATGTCATTCGGCGCTCTCGTTATGAGCGACTACGCCATGTACTTCAACACGATACGTGACGTGTGAGTACGGTCGGCGTATGGTATAGATACGCACCTGAATGGCGTTGTGAAGCAGGTACCAGGTACCAGGTACCAGATACTCCGTGCGTTTCCTTGTAATTTCCTGAATGGCGTGGTGAACCTCGTACCTAGCCCGACATCAGTTACACATGTGATACCAAGGATAGGGTTGTGAAGTCGAGGATTTTCTTCGGTTAGGGTTGTGAGTTGTGCGTTGGGTTTGCCATGAAAGTCAGCAGCTTTAGCTTTGAGGCGGCTCAAAAATAAAGTCAGCAGCTTTAGCTCACGCAATAATGCCGACCAGTGGTTTGGGTGGATCGACCTGGAACCTGCCTGCTCGTATTCCTCAGATTCCGCGCTCCCTTTGGATCCCCCGCTTTCTGCCCCAAGTTACCAACAGCCACAGTTCCTCAAACACCTCTCAAGCGGTCCTTATATCGATGATAACCAGGCTACAGGCTAGGCATGCAGAGGGATGGGTGATCCACAAACACCTCTCTCTCTCTCTGCCTCTCGTGGATGGGCGGGCCGGGAGCCGTGGTGACGAGCCCCCCTTTATCTCACAACCTCGAATCTCTCCCTCCAACCTGCTCCTCTCCCCCCCCCCCCCCATCTCCGTGTTCAGCTACGAGGCATGGGTGATCTACAATTTCCTCTCCCTCTGCCTCTCATGGGTGGGCGGCCCAGGAGCCGTGGTGACGAGCCTCACAGGCCGGCTTCTCAAGCCGTCCTACCTCCTCATGACGTGCTGCTTCCCGCCCATTCCCCTCGACGGGTGAGTTCTAGTTGCGTTATGTTAAGACCTTTGGGAGTGTTTCTACCTGGTATTGAAAAATAAGCTCAGAATCCGCTACTCCAATTTACCGATAAGCCTCTAGGAGCTTCCCTACACCATGGCCTTTGTGCCGTGGTTACCAGCTTCGTAGGGCGGGCAGCTTTTGAGTCGACTCAAAAGTCACCTTGTGCCGTGGTTACCAGCTTCATAGGGCGGGCAGCGCCTTAGGTCCGACGCCCAGTGCTGGGAGCCGTGGTGACGAACCTCACACGGCGCCTGCTGAAGCCGTCTTACCTCCTCACGGCGTGCTGCTTCCCGCCCAACCCCCTGGACGGGTGAGCTCGAGATGCTTTATGTGAGTTGAGACGTATGAGAATCCTCTTACCTCGCTTTCATGGTCGCCTAGCCGTGGTGACGAGCCTGGCAAGGTGCCTGCTGAAGCCGTCTTACCTCCTCGTGACGTGCTGCTTCCCGCCCACCCCCCTGGACGGGTGAGCTCGAGGCGTATGAGAGTGCTCCTACGTGCCTCTATTTCATAGCCGTTTTCATGGCCCCCTAGCCGTAGTGACGAGTCTCAAAAGGGCGCCTTCTCAAAGCCGTCCTACCTCTTCATGATGCAACTCGATCCTTCTCAAGCTTCTTGCCCATTCCCCTGGATTTTGCAGGGTGTATTTGAGAATTCTCAAAAGCACCCTCAAGCCGTCCTACCTCCTCATGACGCAACTCGAACCTTCTCAAGCTTCTTGCCCATTGCCCTGGAGGGGTGAGTACTGAGACTGCTCCCCTTCCTCGTTTCCCTAGAGCTGATAAACCGTTTGACTCTCTTTTCACTCATATCCGCTCCCATTCACCCCCCATATCTCCCCTCCTTTTCCCTCCCATCCAGATGCTTCATTCAGTGTTGCAAGCAGGGCCCGTGTGTAATGAGTATGTTTTTGAGTCGACTCAAAAACAGATGCTTCATTCAGTGTTGCAAGCAGGGCCCCAACCCCTCCTCCCTTTACCCACGCATGTCTCCCTTCCCCTACATGTACTCCCTTCCCTCTCCCCTCATCCAGTTTTGAGGCGCCTCAAAACTAGACTCCCTACATGTACTCCTCCCTTCCCTTCCCCCCCGCCCAGGCGCTTCATCCGGCGATGCAAGCAGGGCTGTCTGCAGTTCGTGTACTTAAAGCCTATCCTGGCGGCGACGTGCCTCTTCCTCTACTCGTACGGGCTCTACGAGGACGGCAACTTCGCCCTCAGCGACGGCTACATCTACATCACGTGCATCTACATGGGCTCCTACTCCGTCGCCATCTACGCGCTTATTCTCTTCTACGTGGCGTGCCGTGAGCTGCTGCGCTCCTTCAATCCCGTGCCGAAATTCCTCATGATCAAGGCAGTTGTGTTCCTGACCTACTGGCAGGTGAGGCTTTCTTTCTGAACAGGTGAGGGATGCCAGCCGGTTGAAATGGTGTGGAACCCCCCATGACTCATCTGCATCACGTGCGTCAAGGCAAGGGGCACAGCTACATCTACATCACGTGCATCTACATGGGTTCCTACACCTTCGCCATATACGCGCTAATCCTCTTCTATGTGGCGTGCCGCGAGCTGCTGCGCTCCTTCGATCCTGCGCCCCTGTTCCTGACCTACTGGCAAGTGAGAGAGAGTCGCAGCAGATGGTGCATGAACCAGCAGATGGTGATAGAGGGGCTTTAGCACATGGGGATGTACATCTACATCACGTGCGTCTACATGGGCTTGTACTCTGTCGCCATATACGCGCCCATGAAGATGCACGTGATGTAGATGTACATCCCCATGAGTCAATATGGGCTCGCCATATACGCCCTCATCCTCTTCTCTGTCGCGTGCCTCGAACATGCATCTTCTATGCACGGGGAGCTGGTGTTGTGCTCGTTCAACCCCGTGCCCAACGAACGGGCTGAGCTGTGCCCTCTGCCAACTCCCTCTCCCCTCTACTTTCTTCAGCATCTGAAGCGCCCTCTCCTCTACCCCCATCCATCCCTCTCCCCTCTACTCCTTCAGGGCGTACTTGTCTTCATCGTCGCTCAGATGGGCTTTGTCCCCAGCGCGGAAGACGCAGCTGATCCACAAAATGTGCCCATCTGCGGGGAGATGGTGCTGGGCGCGCTGGGCTTTATGTGTCCCTTACCTTCTGTGCCTGTGCTTTTCTCTACTCCCTTCAGGGCGTGCTGGTGTTCATCGTCGCTCAGATGGGCTTTGTCCGCAGCGCGGAAGATGCGGCCGACCTGCAGAACGTGCTGATCTGCGGGGAGATGGTGCTGGGCGCGCTGGGCTTTATGCACGCCTTTCCTTTCAAGCCCTTCCTGCAAGCCAATGTGGCGATGAACGGCGAGCAGGCGGGGCTGCTGCGGTCGATAAAACACGCCATCAACCTCACAGACGTTGTCAGCGACACTGTTCACCAGGTGAGAGGTGGTTACCAGCTAACGTGGTTACCAGGCAGCACTGGGCGAGCAGGCAGGGCTGCTGAGACCCATTAAGCATGCCATCAACCTCACTGACGTTGTCAGTGACACCGTGCATCAGGTAAGCTGGTTACTATGCAACCTCTGTTCTCCCAGTAACAGGGTTACCAGGTATATGCTGCGGTCCATTAAGCATGCCATCAACCTCACTGACATTGTCAGTGACACCGTGCATCAGGTGTGGTGACAGGGGAGGTGGTTACTGAGTCATGTGGTTGCCTGGTAACACTGAGTGCTGCAGATGCCCTGTGTACGCCGCTCTTCTTCCCCCTTTCACCCTCCATTGCTTTCGTCTCAATCGCCCAAGCAATTCGCCCCCATCTACCACGACTACGTGCTGTATGGCGATGGCACGGGGGAGAAAATCAGTTGAGCCGTCTCACCTACCCACCGCCCTTCCCTGCTTGTCTAATCCCCATGTACGTATATCGCCCATGCAGTTCGCCCCCACCTACCATGCCTACGTGCAGTGCAGCATGGGCACGGGGGAGAGACATGGCCGAGTGAACTCAACAGTTACCCTTCTCCCATGCATCATTACTTCCGATCCACCTGATCGCCCTCGCAGTTCGCCCCCACCTACCATGACTACGTGCTGTACAGCGACGGCACGGGGGAGACACACCACTACCGAACGCGCACCTTCGTGCCCTCAGGTGAGATTTCGAGCTCTCAGGTGATATTTCGAGCTCTCAGGTGAAATCCAAGCCTTCAGGTGCATGTTCGTGTCTCCAGGTGGGATTCTGTGGCCTCAGGTGCGAGATCCTGGTGAGCCCTTACTCTCTGATACAACACTGGCTGCCAGGCGGCCTCCTTGCACCTGGCAGCCAGTGTTGCAAGGAGGCCTCCTTGGCACTCTCCGTGCACCCTCCTTGCACCCTCCTTGCACTCTCCTTGCACCCTCCTACTGAGCTTTCCAGGGTATTGCTTCCTCACACCACCTCTCCCAACGCTCCCTGCACCTTCTTGAGTGTTCCAACTTCAAGCCCCCCCTCCCTCTCCCGTCCCTCCAAACCCCCTAGATCTTCCCTTAAACCCCCCCACAGGCAGGGAGATGGAGTCGTGCCGCCGCTCTGCCAGTGGTACCGTTCAGCCCCACCACTCCACAGACCTCTAGGCGCCATCAGTTCTCACTCTTTATCCAACACCCCCTCCCCCAGTACTCCAGAGAACTGATGGCGTCTCTTCTCCATCTTACAGGGCGAGAGATGGAGTAGTGCCGCCGCTCTGCCAGTGGGAGAGTGCAGCCGCACCAGTCCACGGACCTCGAGTCCCCATCCATCTCCGACCATCCTGTGGGGCCCACAGGGCTCAGCTCCCAGGGCGCCGGCGATTCCCAAGATGATTTCCTCTCTCTTCCCTTCCCCATATCTCCCTTCTCCCCGCCCCCCCACACACACACCAATACCCCTCACAGGAAGGGAGATGGAGTCATGCCGACGCTCTGCCAGTGGGGGCATAGGAGTTCAGCCTCACCACTCCCCCTCCCCCCCCTCTCCACCTTACAGGCAGGGAGATGGAGTCGTGCCGCCGCTCTGCCAGTGGGAGAGTGCAGCCGCACCAGTCCACGGACCTCGAGTCCCCATCCATCTCTGACCATCCTGGGGCGCCCACAGGGCTCAGCTCTCAGGGCACGGGTGATTCCCAAGACGATTTCCTATCCGAATTGCAGCTCATTTCCACCGGAAACGAAGCGGATGAGAAGACAGGGAGCGGTGGCGACAAGGGTGGGAAAGGCAGTGGGGATGGGACCACTGGGGGCGGGGGGGGCGCGGGGGTTGTGGCTGCTTCGGCTAGTGGGAGCTCGTTGGCTGCGAGGCTAGCGGCTGCGTTCTCTGCAGCAGCGGACATGTCGTCGGCGGTTGACTCGAGCGAGGCCAATGACCCCATGTCGGCTCCGCTCGGGTTTACAATGTCCTCGTCGAGCGCGCAGGGCGACGGGTTTGTGGAGATGGAGGAAGAGCAGGAGCAGCCGCATCACCACCAACAGCTAAAAAAGCAGCAGCAGCAGTTGGCGGGGGTAGGGATTTTAAGGGAGGCGATGGTGGATATGGGGATGTCGTCGCCTCCTCCTAAAGGGAGCTTGAGGCCGTATGGAGCTTCGGCCGATCCTGACGATGACGACCCAACGCCGATCACGTCACGGAACCCGAACCTAGCCACTCCGAAGCAGCTGCCGACCGCCACGCCACCACCGCTGCCACCACCACCATCAGCAGGAGGGTCGCCGGACCTAAGAAGGGAGGATGTAGGGACGCCTGTGTTAGGCAGTGTGAGCATACAGGGGTCTCCGTTATCGGGAGGTAGGGTTTCTGAGATGGTTCCCTTGCGAGGAACAGCGCAAGGGAGTAGCAGTACTGGGAACAGCCCTGCTGGGGCTGGGTTCTCACCAGGAATTGGTGATGCAGCAGAAATGGAAAAGCTCGTGCTGGATACCGAGAAACTATAACCATGTTAGGTTGTGAAAGTATACAAGTAATGTACATTCCTTAGTAGGTGTTTTGAAGTATACTAGGTAACGTCAAAATAGCACAATTGCAGTTTTTTTAGTAAAACTAATCATGTAAGTTCTGAAACGTAAAATGCGCGATGGTATGATATAGGGGGAATGGTGGCGAAGCACCTCAGGCTAATTAGTGTATGGTTGTGGGTGAAACTGCTGAGCCCCATAAAGGGTACCGTACGCGGTGGGTTTCCAAATTCGAATTGTCGAACATGGAAATTCAAAATGCACCTGCTGTGCAAGGTTCGTGAAGCAAAGGCGATTGTTTTGTTTTTTCGGGAAAGTTTTCTCCAGACCAGTCTTTATTTGGAGGCACTGAACTGGGTTTCTTGACACCCGAAGGGTCCTACCTATGTGACTGGGTAGATATGCATTACTGGAACAGCACAGTAAATACAAAGTCGGACTCAATGTCACAGTACATACAACACATCGCACAATTGCCCAACTTTCGCTACCGAGGAGTTTCACGAAGTCGCAACACCAGCGTGTAAAGTGCTGAAAATTTAGCGGCCTTGAGTAATATAGCATGTTCGTGTGAAATTCAAAATACCCCAAATTAGCCGCCGCGCAGTTCGTTTGCCTGGTTCCTTCACCTTTTGTTTTTCAGCACAGAAACTGCATGTTGCCAAACCAAAGCACTGCATGGTCGACGACGATACTGCACTGCACTGCATGCTCTGTGCTCTGCTGCCCTCGCCTACAAAACAGCTCTCGCCTATTGTATCCCGCACCACGCACAGCTTCATTCCACCCTCAGCCACTTCATTTGGTGCTTCATCTGTTCTCGTGCTACACACACCCCTCGTCTCTGAGCTCGATACGCAGCCAACGGCTCTCGGGCAACATCTCCCCACGCTATTCCCCTACTCTGTAGACAGGAGGCCCGCGCTTGATTTTGATAGGGTTGAAAGTGAGTGTAGAAGGTAGAACATTCATCAGGCGTGACGCAAATTGCAATATCTTCTACGTAGGCGTGAGGCTTCATGGCTAGGCCTGGAGCAAAGAAGCGTGTCAACAGCGAGCCGACGATCATGCGGCGAGCTCCCGACGGGAGCGCGTTCCTCACCTGGTAACTGCAATGGCTCGAACCTTCACCAGTTACTGCATTCCGGATCTCTCCCTCTCCGTGTTTCAAGGAGGTGTGCTGCTGTTTGTCAATTTTCGTCAATCGTCGTCAGTTTACTGCACTTCAGCTTTTGAGTCGACTCAAACGTTTACTGCACTTCAGCTTTTGAGTCGACTCAAACGTTTACTGCACTTCAGCTCCCGCTCCAATTTTCAAGGAGGCGTAATGCTGTTCGTCGATTCCCGCCAATCGTCAGGAATGGTTTTCTTCCTGTCATCAGTTTTCAAGCGGATGGAGGCCGCCTCCTTTTGGCCGACCTGTGTCTTGACGATGTAAAAGAACGCCGTTTGCCTTGATAATGAATCAGTTTTTAAGAGCAACGTGTGTGTCTTGCAGCGAGGCGTGCAGCACCAAGGTGCCGGTCGCCACGGCGGACATGCACTCATGCGAGAACGACGCTGCATTCAAAGCGACCCTAGGTGATTCCGCCCCGCTCGTTTTCTAATTGGGCCAAATTGAACGAACCTGGGCGCGTCATCTTTATTCTCGGCTTTCCTGCATTCGTCAGTGTCGCATTTGTTCCGTCACGTTTCCAGATGTGATAATAACGGATGCACAATGTGGTTCTGTCTCCCTCACTCTGGCAGAGCGTTTGCGGCTGGAGTTTAGAGAGCGCATGGCAGAGGAAGCCGCTGCAAAGTAAGTCGTTCACAAGTGGGTGGGATGAAGCCTTCACAGATGAATCAAGCGGGCTCGTAAGGAACATTTAGCCGTTCATTTACCTTTTTGTTCGAACAGTTTCATCTCCAGTCTCATGTAAGATGAGCTGTGTTCTTACTCTTGTTCATTTTCCATGTCCCGTAGGAAGCAGAAGGCGGAGAAGGCGAAGCCAGCCAAGGGTGAGAAGGGTGAGAAGGCGGAGAAGGCGAAGCCAGGCAAGGGTGAGAAGAAGGGCGAGAAGGTGGAGAAGCGGAAAGCCGAGAAGGACCCCAACGCTCCGAAGAAGCCAACAACTGCCTACTTCCTGTTCCTGTAAGTGTTGCTGCGCTTCCCTAGAGAAATCTCCCATAGGCGTGCTATCGTGCACCATTCTGTGCGCTGTTCAGCTTAGGCCTACTTCTTGTTAGTATAGTCTCTCCTATTCTTGCTTCCTACTTGATCCACGGGAGCCCATTATCTCGCAACGCTCTGGCCGTTGTGGTCGAGCTGCAGGTTTTGTTCACTTTGAGAAACATTAACGAGTTGTAATTGATGTTTGACGACATATCCTGGCTTGTGATTTTTTTTGTTTCCAGAGAAGATTTTCGGAAGCAGTTCAAGGACGAGAATCCAGACGTTAAGGGTGTCACGGAGGTACTGTAATCCCCATCCGCCATAGTGGCGAGGCTCTTAATCTCAATTTTGTATCCTTACATCTTTCGTTGTAATGCCGCTCATCTTGTGTTTTTTCTTGTTTTGTTTTGCAAAATGTGCAGATGAGCAAAGCCGCTGGCATAAAATGGAAGAGCTTGACGGACGAGGTGAGATTTTCTGATTCTCCCTTCGTTTTGATTGCCTGAGGAGTTTGTTCATGACTGCCTTTCCAATTGCACTCTTCTGGTAGTGTTTGTTCCACAGTGAGTGCGCCTGACTGAGCAAATGGGTCCACTCCTTTCCTGGGATCGCAGGAGAAAGAGAAGTACACTAAAGGAGCGGCGGAGCGCAAGAAGGAATATGAGGCCAAAATGGAGGAATACAACATGGTAAGTAGTTATACCTTACAGCACATGAAGTAGATTGTGCTAGTGAACCAATGCACTCTTAACATGTCATGTGATGCATTCCCTTCTGCAGCAATCTAGGGCGGAGGGGGTGGGGGAGACTGAGGATGAGGATGAGGAGACGCATGAAGAGGAGTCAAAGCCTGCAAAGAAGAAGAGGCTTGTGTCCAAGCAAACTAAAGAGGTGCGAGCTAGAGCGAGCATATTTGTTAGCATAAGGTTGTTCAAGCATGTAACTCCAATCACATGCTTGAAAATGCCATGTCCTTCACTCCCAACACCTTTGCAGGATGAGACATTGAACGAGGAGCTGCAAGATGACATTGCAGATTGATTAATCAGATTATAGAAGCTTTTTTTTACAACGTTATTGCAGTTCAGCAAATCTTAGCTCATTTGCGTTTTTCCCTTTTTGTCTTGATAGCTCATGTGCATTGATAGTGTTTGTGTCATTAGGTGGTGCTTAGATATGCCATAACAAGCCTGCTTCTATTGTGCAAGAATCGTTGCTCGTGGGATGTGTGATGGCGATGACTCGCAATGTACTGCTGACGTGGCTGCGGATCTCCAGAAGGATGAGAGTTGTGTTTTGGCTTCTGTTCTCTGACCGCCCTGAAGCAATTCGTCTGTTTTATTCTCACCGCAAACTGTACAGCAGTGGAAGCTCGTTTTTTCTAGCATTTTTCGGAGACTGATGATGAAGGGACAAGCGTTCCTGGTATTTCCAGCCTTCCGGTTGCGAATCAGAAGTCGTCAGGCCAGGCAGTCATTCCACGAAAACATGTTGCCGAAATGTATGCGACTTGGCATCTCGACATTCTCTTGGTTTGCCCGTAGCGGATACCCCGCCGCCCCAGCCTGCCTCCTTGAGCTCTGACATTCGCTCCAAACAAGGGCAAATCGGGTTCGGAAAGTAGGCTCGATGTGACAGATTAGGCACGGAGCAGTGGCCACACTTGATCAGCTTCAGATTCAGAGAGACTCCCGGACCGGCTCCCGAACCAGTGTCAGGGCCCTGCTCAGGTTTGGTGTTGTTGAATCTGGTTTGAATTCTCTCTGCTTCCTGCTGCTGGTTTTTATTTGGGGGGTCCGAAGTGAAACAAATGGTGACGTCCTGACACGTCACAGGAAGGTACAATGCGGTATTCATAATGTTTAGAGCTTTTGGAGAGCATAAACTCTCGGTTCTGCAACGTCAGGAAACCTTACGCTCTAATTCGGACACCCCCTTACTGTCCTGCTTATCTTGGCTTCCCTGTGTGCTGTACAGAGCACAGATGTGTTAGCAGAGGAAACCTTGCGTGCGTGACTCGCACATTCTTGTCGGACGGGCGAAGCAGAATGATGTGCAGATTGCCCTACAGTGCCAGCTTCGCTTGCGTGCAGCTTATGTTCTGAAAAAAGGAGAGTCTTGGGATTCCGGTATTAGGTTGTCTCAAAGTCGCGTGCTGGTACACAGACCTAGATTCCAAACGGGACATCTGCAATACCAAATAACGTAGTATGCTGATTCTGCTGGCTCTCTTACGACGCCACGCAACCCAATGCAGATTATAGTGCAAAAACACATCGTGTGGATTTCTCGTTTCGGAGCTGCATCGTGCTAGCTGCTCCCATTCCGGTCTATGGTTCCCCCTCCTGTCACATTCGCAATGACAGCGAGATAAGCGAAAGCCATCAGCGATGGACGGTCCTCTCAAGTTTGTTGTCGCGGCAGTTGCAGCCGTCGTCGTCGCGAAGCAAGTCCTTGGAATCGCAAACCACAACCAGAGTAAGACGACCTGAGTTCCAGCCATGGTTGACTCTTGAGTCGACTCAAATGCCGTCGTCGTCGCGAAGCAGGTCCTAGGCATCGCAAACCACAACCAGAGTAAGGCGATCGGAATCTCAACCATACAGCACAAGCGTACTCTACTCACGTACCTGGTACTCACGTACCTGGTACTCACGTACCTGGTTACAGTAATCCGTTACTGTTTCAGCAAGTTCCGCCAGCTGTAGAGACTTGTCTTCTCACCTACATCGAGCCCCGGTTTTCCTGGCAGCATAGCTTGCTAGAATCGCGGACCTTCATCTCTCGCATGCTCGTGGTTAAACGACTTACACACGCACTCTCACGCTCTCACTATATTGATGCAGCGTGCTATTTAGCATTCTCAAGGTGTTTTCGACCTCAAAACCACCCTGCACAATCGCAGGACCTTCATCGCTCGCATGCTCTTGGCTAATCGACTTACACACTCAATCTCACGCTCTCACTATAGTTGTGTGCGACGATCACTTGCTCTGATGATGCCTGCGCCAATCGCATCGTCGCAGAGTTACAAGGTCAACCGACGCGAACACTTACCGCACCATTCCTTGAGTGGCTTACGATTTTCTACCCTTTTTGAATCGACCTAAGAAACAACCCTGTATTCTGTAACGTTTCCCGTCATCTCGTTTCTAGGGCAAGAGGAGGAACGGCGGCGACGGCGTCGGCGACAGCAACGTTCGCAGCGCGAACAAGACGGCCGTGATGTGAGTAAAACGAGGGGACAGACAGCTGTATTCTGATCGCATCGTCGACATCCGTTAACCGCACCAGTCTCCCCCCCTTCCCCACATCCCCCACATCCCCAACATCCCACATGTCCCCCACGTCCCCCACATCCCCCACGTCCCCCACATCCCCCACGTCCCCCACATCCCCCACGTCCCTCACATCCCCCACGTCCCCCACATCCCCCACGTCCCCCACATCCCCCACGTCCCTCACATCCCCCACGTCCCTCACATCCCCCACGTCCCTCACATCCCCCACGTCCCCCACATCCCCCACGTCCCTCACATCCCCCACGTCCCTCACATCCCCCACGTCCCTCACATCCCCCACGTCCCCCACATCCCCCATATCCCCCCCTTTCCTCACATCCCCACATCCCATGTGTGACCCAGGGCTATGCCATGTCTTACGTGCGTCTCTTCCGTGCTCCGCATGGCAGGTGCCGGTAGAAGGGCAGCAGGGCAGGCGGCCGGGCAGGAACTAAATGGCACTGAGCGCGTGGGGGAGGAGAGGAATTCAGGCAGGGGTCCAGGGTTAAGGTCAATACTATTGCCGCTTTCCGCGTTTCTCATGGCAGGTGCCGGCGGAAGGGCAGCAGGGCAGGCGGCCGGTGCAGGAGCTGAACGACATCGAGAGCGTGGGGGAGGAGAGGGACCGCAGCAGGGACCGTTCGTTATTGTCACATGGGAGGGTTGGGGCTACGTTTGGCCAGGGAGGCGGGGAAGGGCATGGGATTACGAGGGTGGCTCAAACGGGTGGGGCAGCCGGAGCAGGAGCCGGAGGAGGAGGGGGTGGGGAGGGAGGGGGAAGGGGAGGGGGAGGGGGAGGAAGCAAACACAAGGAAGGGCGTACGCGCGCATCTGGTGGCGCTGCTGCAGCTGCTGCTGCTGTAGCAGATGTGACTGTAGATGGCAGGGACTATTATGGGGGCTCTGGGGACAGAGCGTCAAGCGAAGGGAGGAAGGAAGAGGAGGAGGAGGGAGAGAGGGGAAGGAAGGACCGGAAAAAGGACCGGAAGGAGAAGAGGAAGAAGAAGAAGGATAAGAAGGAGGGCAAGGAGAAGGGGAAGGGGAAGGACAGGCAGGGGCGAGAGGAGGGGGAGGAGGGAGAAGAGGGGGAAGAGGAGGCTGGCAAGCTGGCGGATGGTGTTGATGCCGATGTTAGATGTACCGGTGATGGTGGAGCGACTGCAGGGGTGGCTGGGAATGCAGCTGAGCGCAAGGAGGGGCCAGAAGAGGAGAAGGCAGAAGAGGAGGAGAAGAACGAGAATGCTAAATCAAATGCTAAATCGGGAGACGAGTTTTTTTCTGAGGAGGACGTGCCTGACGTGTGGTCGGACTTTGAGTCGAAGCTCGCTGTGAACGGGCAGAGAGCAGCCGTCAGGGGCACGGCAGCAGCAGGAGCGCGAGGGGCGGACGGGGACGGGGCATGGGGAGCAGCAGTGGCGGCTGTTTCCAGCGATGTGCGGGCCAACAGCAATGTTGCCGGGTCAACAGCAATAGAAGAGCGGGCGAGAGAGGAGCACGCGAGGGAGGAGCGGGTGCACGAGCTGCTAGCGGCGCAGGAGCAGTCGCTGAGAGAGTCGCACGCGCGTGAGATAGAGGGGCTTAAAGCGAGGATAGAGAGGGAAGCCCAGGAGCGCGTGCTAGGGGAAGTGGAGGCCAGGGTGGAGCTGGAGGTTCAGGAGAGATTGAAAGGCGAGGCACACTTGAAGGAGATCGAGGGGCTGAAGGCGAGGATAGAGCGGGAGGTGCATGAGCGGGTGATGGCGGAGGTGGCGGAGGTGGAGGCGCGGGTGGCGCAGGAGGTGCAGGAGCGGGAGGCGCTGGAGGAGCAGCAGCGGGCAATGGCGGAGGAGCACCAGCGGGAGGTGTGGGAGCTGCAGTGCAGCGCGGAGGAGATGAAGCAGCAGCACGAGCAACTCATGGCGGAGCTGCAGGTAGGCTGTTGGGTGCGTGTTGAAGTGCGTGAGAGACGCTTTGAAAATGCTCAAAAGCCAAACGCTCGAGCACCGGAGGGAGGTGTGGGAGCTGCAGTGCAGCGCGGAGGAGTTGCGGCAGCAGCACGAGCAACTGATGGCCCGAGCAACCCCTCCACTGGTAGGGGGTGGGAGGATTTGTGAGGTTGTAGGAGGGTGTGATGCGGGAAGTTGTGTGAGGGTTGGAAAGTGTGTCAAGGTGGGAGGGCACGTGAGGGTGTGCAAGAGCATGTGAGAGCACGAGTGCGAATGTGAGAGAGTGCGAGTGTTTCACTGGACATTGAGGTGTCCGCAGGTCGACCAGTCTTCCTCTCTCCCCCTTCCCCCCGGCCCCCCCCCTCTTTCGGTTCGCGCCCGTCACCAGGAGCTGCGGCAGCTGCGGTACGGGGGCGAGGAGGTGGAGCAACAGCGGCGCGAGGTGGAGAGGGAGCGGGCGGAGGTGGTGCGGCTGCGCAAGGGCATGGCGGAGAGCGTGTTCCAGAAGCAGCAGTGGGCGCAGGACGTGCAGGATATGGACAAGATCAAAAAGGAGGTGAGGGGATGAGTAGGGTGTGAGGGGATGAGTAGGGTGTGAGGGGCTGAGTAGGGTGTGAGGGGATGAGTAGGGTGTGAGGGGCTGAGTAGGGTGTGAGGGGATGAGTAGGGTGTGAGGGGCTGAGTAGGGTGTGAGGGGCTGAGTAGGGTGTGAGGGGATGAGTAGGGTGTGAGGGGATGAGTAGGGTGTGAGGGGATGAGTAGGGTGTGAGGGGATGAGTAGGGTGTGAGGGGATGAGTAGGGTGTGAGGGGATGAGTAGGGGTTGAGAGGATGAGTAGGGGTTGAGAGGATGAGTAGGGGTTGAGAGCGAGTGTGGTTGTCCCAAGGGGTGAGGCAGCATGGGTACAAGTGCCCCTATGCAAGGGCAACTGGTGTGGTTGACCCCAACTCAGCCTTTGCCACTCCGCCTTTCCTTCCGCCCCTCTGCTCCCCACTCCCCTGCGCTGCAGGTGAACGAGCTGAGGGCGCGAGAGAGTTTTGAGTCGACTCAAAAGTCATCTCGTTTTGAGTCGACTCAAAAGTCATCTCGTTTTGAGTCGACTCAAAAGTCATCTCGTTTTGAGTCGACTCAAAAGTCATCTCGTTTTGAGTCGACTCAAAAGTCATCTCGTTTTGAGTCGACTCAAAAGTCATCTCGTTTTGAGTCGACTCAAAAGTCGCCCCTCCGCTCCCCACTCCCCTGCTGCAGGTGAACGAGCTGAGGGCGCGAGAGAGGGAGCTGCAAAAGCAGCTGAGGATTGGCTCGGGCTCTGCCTCGGAGATCACTGCGCTCAAGCAGGTATGGATGTTCTTCTGCTGCTAGAATTCTGCTGCTAGGAGCCCGGTTCTAGTGCTGTCGAAACTGCAGAAGCTGCTGAGGATTGGCTGGGGCTCCGCCTCAGAGATCACTGCGCTCAAACAGGTACGGACATTCGTGTGCTGCTAGAAGCCTGATTCCTTGGCGAATCCTTGGCGAATCCCTCGAAGTTCATATCTCCCCGCACGCCCCTGCTGCGCTGCTATGTGGAGGGTCCCCCCTCACCAGGTGGTGTTGTGTGGTGGCGCCTCTTAAAGCCTGTGAGGAGGAGGCGAACGCCAATGAGGCTCTGACCCTATTTTCAAGGCGCCTCAAAAGACTGACTGTTCTAAGCTCACATCTCCCTGCCTGCCCCTACTGTGCTCCCGTACCTGGGTGGCAGGTGGTGGCGTCCCTTAAAGCCCGCGAGGAGGAGGTGAACGCTAAGGAGGCTCTGGCGCTGGCAAAGCAGAAGGAGGTGGAAGTGATGCGCAAGGTGAGTGAGCGGTAGGCGGGGGATTGGCTCATTGAGGATGGGATATCAGAGGAATCAGTGGCAGAGGAGGAGGCAAATGTGAAGGAGGCTCTGGTGCTAGTGAAGCAGAAGGAGGTGGAAGTGATGCGCAAGGTGAGAAGAGGAGAGGTGGGGAGAGGAGAGGTGGGGAAAGGAGAGGTGAGGAGAGGAGAGGTGGGAAGAGGAGAGGTGGGAAGAGGAGAGGTGAGAAGAGGAGAGGTGGGAAGAGGATAGGTGAGAAGAGGAGAGGTGGGAAGAGGAGAGGTGGGAAGAGGAGAGGTGGGGAGAGGAGAGGTGGGGAGAGGAGAGGTGGGGAGAGGAGAGGTGGGGAGAGGAGAGGTGGGAAGAGGAGAGGTGAGAAGAGGAGAGGTGGGAAGAGGAGAGGTGAGAAGAGGAGAGGTGGGAAGAGGAGAGGTGGGAAGAGGAGAGGTGGGGAGAGGAGAGGTGGGGAGAGGAGAGGTGGGGAGAGGAGAGGTGGGAAGAGAAGAGGTGGGAAGAGGAGAGGTGGGAAGAGGAGAGGTGAGAAGAGGAGAGGTGGAAAGAGGAGAAGTGGGAAGAGGAGAGGTGAGAAGAGGAGAGGTGGGAAGAGGAGAGGTGAGAAGAGGAGAGGTGGGAAGAGGAGAGGTGGGAAGAGGAGAGGTGGGGAGAGGAGAGGTGGGGAGAGGAGAGGTGGGGAGAGGAGAGGTGGGGAGAGGAGAGGTGGGGAGAGGAGAGGTGGGAAGAGGAGAGGTGGGAAGAGGAGAGGTGGAGGAGAAGGCGGAGGTGGAGCTGGTGGAGGCTCTTTGCCTCACCCTGTTGCAAATGCGCCCTGTCTTCCGCTCCTCTGATCCCTTCCCCCTCCCAGGCGCAGGAGAAGGTGGAGGTGGAGGTGGTGGAGTGGAGGCGTGCCTTGTGAGTTGAGCAACGAGCAGCAGCAGCAGGATCAGGCTGTGCTGCACTTCATCTTGCCTACTCTCCCCTTCCTCCCCGCTCACACCTCTCCTGCTTCCTCCGCTTGGGCCTGCTTCCTCCGCTTGTGCCTGCTTCCTACCCGCTCACACCTCTCTACCAGGCGCAGGAGAAGGTGGAGGTGGAGCTGGTGGAGGCACGTTGGATGAACAGCGAGCTGCAGCTGCAGAGTCTGGCTTCGAGGCTGCTTTGTACGCCTTGTTGCCTGCTTGCTCCCTTTCAACTCTCCCCCTCCCCCTCCTCTCTTTCTTCCCCTCTTATCGTCTCCAGGCGCAGGAGAAGGTGGAGGTGGAGCTGGTGGAGGCGCGAAGGGTCAACAACGAGCTGCAGCTGCAGAGGAGGAAGATGAGCGTGCAGCTGGCAGAGGCTCAGGCGCACATTGATCGGCTCATAGCACCAGAGGTAACTGCTTGGCACTGTGATAACCTTATACAGTGAGAGTGAAGGTGGACAGACATGGGTACTAGCTGCAGCTGCAGAGGAGGAAGACGAGCGTGCAGCTGGCAGAGGCTCAGGCGCACATTGATCGGCTCATAGCACCAGTGGTAACTGCTTGGCACTGTGATAACCTTATACAGTGAGAGTGAAGGTGGACAGATATGGGTACTAGCTGCAGCTGCAGAGGAGGAAGACGAGCGTGCAGCTGGCAGAGGTCCAGGCGCGCATCGATCGGCTTATAGCACCAGAGGTAACTGCTCGGGGGCTGTGGCATGGAACCAGAGGGGCTGTGGTAACCCTGTTGTGTCATGGTTTTTGGCAGCGGCTCAGTGACAGGTTCTTTCCACCTGAGGAAACCATTGACCCAGTGGAAACTGAAGAAGTCGCATATGGAAGCCATGCTGCTGCTGTAGCTGTGCCTCCCCCCCTGATTTTTGAGTCGACTCAAAAATCACCAGTGGTAACTGGAGAAGGCGCATATGGAAGCCGTGCTGCTGCTGTAGCTGTGCCTCCCCCTCTTCTGTCACACTCCTCTCCTCTGCTCCCACTGGCCCTCTCTCTCTCTCTCTCCCTCTCGTGTTTCAGTGCCAGCAGCTGGAGAAGGCGCATATGGAAGCCATGCTGCTGCTGCAGTGCCTATTCCACAGCCTGGTCCTTTGCTCTCTGTTCACTCTCCTTCCTCTCTCACTCCCTTACATCCCCTTCACCTGCTGCAAAGCCAGCAGATGAAGAAGGCGCAGATGGAGGCCATGCTGCTGTTGTGCCTCCTCCTCTCTCCCCACACTCTCTCTCTCCCCTCACTCTCACCTCACCCCCCCTCCCATCGGTCCATCCCTCCCTTCACCTGCTGCAGAGCCAGCAGATGAAGAAGGCGCAGATGGAGGCCATGCTGCTGCGGCAGAGAGTGGCTGACTTGCTGCGACAGGTGGGCTACATGTTACACACCCCTATCGTTCCAACGTGCTTGCAAGGACCCTGCTGCCCATGTTTCCGGCTAGAAAATCCGTGTGTTATATGCGTGAGCCATAGGATCTTTTTAGGTGCCTCAGAAATCGAGCGGTGGGTCCCACTTCAACCGTTCTGTTGTGCTGGATCTCCACGGCTCATTTAAGCCATCCTCAGGGTACCTATCTTTGTTCTAGCAAACATCCTTATTCTCGACTCGATTAGATCCATCAAATAAAATCCCATCATCATTATACTCATCTTCACTATTCCCATCACCATGATTCCCCTCACCGCCCCTCACCATTATTCCCCTCACCATTATTCCCCTCACCACTTGAGCTGTTTCCTTCGAAATTCCCCCACCACCCTCCCCCATCACAGGTGGAGGGTCTGCAGAACAGCCGCTTCAGCGAGGTGGAGGAGGTGGTGTACCTGCGGTGGGTGAACGCGTGTCTGCGCTTTGAGCTGCGCCACAACAAGGCAATGCCAGGGGGCAGGGACTCCGCCCTCTCCCTCAACAACAACCGCAGCCCGCGCTCGCAGGTGAGTGAGTCACGTGCTGTCATGGGACTGAGCCAAGTCCTCTCGGGTACGCTGCCAGGCTGCCAGGTGCGGCTTGTAAGCCGGGCATCTTGTGCAACCCCTGGGGCTGGGAAGGGAGGAAGAGGGGGAGGGTGGGTGAACGCGTGTCTGCGCTTTGAGCTGCGCCACAACAAGGCCATGCCAGGGGGCAGGGACTCCGCCCTCTCCCTCAACAACAACCGCAGCCCGCGCTCGCAGGTGAGTGAGTCGCGTGCTGTCATGGGACTGAGCCAAGTCCTCTCGGGTACGCTGCCAGGCTGCCAGGTGCGGCTTGTAAGCCGGGCATCTTGTGCAACCCCTGGGGCTGGGAAGGGAGGAAGAGGGGGAGGGTGGGTGAACGCGTGTCTGCGCTTTGAGCTGCGCCACAACAAGGCCATGCCAGGGGGCAGGGACTCCGCCCTCTCCCTCAACAACAACCGCAGCCCGCGCTCCCAGGGGAATCTTATCTAGCACCCAGTCTCAAGTAAGGGCCATAGCACTGCCTCCTTAATCCAAGCCACGCCCTCTCGAGGAACAAGGACATGCCGGGGGGGAAGGACTCCGCCCTGTCACTCAACAACAACCGCAGCCTGCACTCGCAGGTAGGGAACCTTGCCTGGGCCATGCCAGGGGGGAGGGACTCCGCCCTTTCACTCAACAACAACCGCGGCCCACGATCCCAGGCACGGCTCAATCTGTCCCAGCGACTCAGGTGTGAGCAGCGCCGCATTGGGTTCTTTTGAGGTGCCTCGAAAGCGCTCGCACGTATGGCTCAATCTGTCCCAGCGACTCAGGTGTGAGCAGTGCCGCATTGGGTTCTTTTGAGGTGCCTCGAAAGCGCTCGCACGTACGGCTCAAGCTGTCCTCGAGCCGGACATAGCACGCACCCCCTGGGCGTGGAAAGAGAGCGATAGGGGGCGGTGGGTGAACGCGTGTCTGCGCTTTGAGCTGCGCCAGAACAAGACCTCTTACAACGCATCCGCACTCTCCCCCAACAACATCTGCCCATCCCTTGTTTGATGCTGTAATTGTGCTCTCCATCCCCCCCCCCCCCCCTTTCGCTAATCTGTCCTTTATATTAGATTGGAAGGGTTACAGGCAAGGTAGGTACGGCACGTACATGGCAAGTGCGAAACACAGCTAAGGTACTAGCCAGGGCTCCCCTTTCTCCCTTCACTTTCCCTCCATTCCCTGCCTTTCGCCCTCCCTGTCCTTCCCACAGGACCGTGCCAAGCATCTCATGCAGCAGTTTGCAGATGGCTACCCCACAGGGGATGCTGCTGGTTCCGGTGCTGGTGGTGCCCGGTACAACGACGACGACTCGGACTCTCTCTCCCTCTACAACGACTCTGCCTCCTTCGCCTCGTCGCCCGACCGCGGCAGTGCTGCTGCCACGGACGACCCCTTCCACTCCTCGCCCGACAGCTACGGGCGGGGCGGAGGCGCAAGAAAGTCGAGAACCCCCGGGCCTGGGAAGGGCGGGAGGGGGGCCGGGTGGGGGGCAGGGGTTAGTGGTGGTGGTGGTGCTGGTGGAGGTGGAGGTGGGGAAGGTGGTTCTGGGGAGGGTGGAGGTGGGTTTGGGCCAGGGAAGGAGGCGATTGGGCGGACCATGTCTCTCCAGGCGATGTCGCAGCAGGATGCTGCGAGCAAGCTGAAGAACTTCTTGACATGGCGCAGAAACAAGTCGTCAAAGGACCTGGAGGAGACGGCTGCTGGTGGTGCTGGTGGTGGTGTTGGTGGTGGTGATGGTGCCGGTGCTGATGCTCTTTCTGCTGCGGCTGTTCGAGCAGCAGCAAGGTACGAAGGGGAGGGAGGGAGGCGGCACAGCAACGCGCCAAGAGGAGCAGGAGGAGGAACAGGAGGAGGAGGAGGAGGAGGAGGAGGAGGAGGTGGAGGAGGAGGGGCAGGGGGAGGAGAGGAGGGAGGAGGGGGAGAGGGGTCCCAGGAGGAGGAGAGGAGGGAGGCCATTCTCCGAAAGCTCAAGATGAAGCAGCCACCTCCCAGCATGATGATGATCTCTGATCTTACCGTCGGTGATTCCTTCAGTCTCGTCCGTCGATCCGTCTCCCGCCCAGACAAGGACAATCTGCACCGTCGATTCCCGGGATTCAAGGACCGGCACCTGCTGGCGCAGGAGCGTCAGATCTTTAATCTCCAGCAGGCAGAAGCTGCGGCTGCGCTTAGAAAATCTAATATTTCTGCCGATGCGTCCGTTGGGAAGACGCCGAGGGTTGTCGCCCCGGAGAAGCGCGAGCCGAGGGTGCCGTCCGCGCCGCCCAGGCCGCGAACCACCCGCCCGAGCCTGCTGGACGAGGACACGGAGCTGACGGCCGCCGCCGCCCTGCTCAACAAAGCGGTCGGCGGGGTGCCGGTGCCGCCGCCCCTGCCGCCGCCCGGCGCCCCGCCGCTGCCGCCCGCCATGCCCAAGGGCGGGAAGCTGGGGGGGAGGGCGGAGTGGGACGAGGAGGGGATGAGAAGGGCGCCTGAGGTGGTGGCGTTCTATCAGCAGCTGATGAAGATGCAGCGAGAGGCGTTGGGAGGGGTTGGAGGCGGTAGGGAAGGGGAGGAGGGCTTGAGTATGGCGGCTGTGAGGGGGGATATGATTGGGGAGATCGAAGGGCGCTCGTCCCACCTGCTTGCGGTGAGTTGAGAGGCGTCTGATTGAGGCTGCCTGGTTAGTAGTTTCCTCTCTTTTTTGTTCCGGCTGTTGTTCCACTTCCTCCACCTCCTGTCTCGTCCCCTCCCCTCCCCTCCCCTCCCCTCCCCTCCCCTCCCCTACCCGTCCCTTTTGCTCCAACTCTCGCAGATCAAGCAAGACGTGGAGATGCAGGGCGACTTCATCAACACGTTGGCGCGGGAGGTGCGGGAGGCATCCTACTACGACATTGAAGACGTGGTGGCGTTTGTCAACTGGCTGGACGAGGAGCTCGCCTTCCTGGTACGGCAGTGAGGGTGAATGGCGAGCGGCTGGTAACCCTCCTGGCATATCTGTTGCGTGCTGATGCAGCGGCTTTGCCATCGAGCATGTCATGTGGTGGCGTTAGTTAGCTTGCTGGCTTTCCTTGTATGGCCGCTTCCCTGGTGTGCGGTGTGCGGTGTGTGGCTGGCTTACCTGGCTTCTCAATCCGAGCTCCCCGATTATACCCACTCGCTCTTCCCCTCACCCCTCTCCCCCTTTCTCTCCCCTCTCCTCCTCCCATCCCTGGTGGACGAGCGGGCAATGCTGACGCACTTTGACTGGCCCGAGGCCCATGCAGGCCCGCTGAGGGAAAACGCATTTGAGTTGCAGGACCTGGTGCAGCTGGAGAGAGACCTGTTCAACCCCTCCTCTTCCGCTCTCCCCTCCTTTCTCCAAACCCCCCAGGTGGACGAGCAGGCAGTCTTGAAGCACTTCGACTGGCTGGAAGCCTTGGCAGACACATTCAGGGAGGCGGCGTTTGAGTTCCAAGACCTGGTGCAGCTGGAGAGGGACCTCTCAAGCCCTGTTTCCTCGGCTGGACAGAGACATCCAACCCCCTTTCACTCCCTTACCATGCCCGTAGGTGGACGAGCGGGCAGTGATTAAGCACTTTGACTGGCCTGAAGCCAAAGCAGACACGTTAAGGGAGGCGGCCTTTGAGTTCCAAGACCTGGTGCGGCTGCAGAAGGACCTCGTAACGTTCCTCCTACAATCCTGCCCTCCTCTCCCCTTGTTCTCTCCCCCTCTGCGTGCCTCTCAGGTGGACGAGCGGGCAGTGCTGAAGCACTTCGACTGGCCAGAAGCCAAGGCAGACGCGCTGAGAGAGGCGGCGTTTGAGTTCCAAGACCTCGTGCGGCTGGAGAGGGACCTGGCTGGCTACGTGGACAACCCCGAGGTGCCCACGGACCAGGCGCTCAAGAAGATGTTCCTCGTGCTTGAGAAGTGAGTGGCGTTGGGGGAGGGGGGGTGAGGGGGTTTTGTGGGTTTTGGTGTGGTGTCAGGGGGGTGCCTGGAGTCGAGGCTGGAAAGAGACCTTGCCAGCTACGTGGATAACCTTAAGGTGCCCACGCACGGACCAGGGATCAAGAAGATGTTTCAAGTACTCAAGGGTGAGTGTGGGGGGGCAGGAAGGGAGAGGGGTTGGGTCCTAGCTCAGTGCTTCAAGGTGTCTTGCTCACACCAAGTCTGGAGAGGGACCTTACTGGCTACGCGGATAACCCCGAGGTGAGCGTTCACGAAGATGTTCCAAGTTCTGGAGAAGTGAGTATGGGAGGGGTGGGGGCGGTGGGGAGAGAGGGAAATGAGGGAGAGAGGGAAATGAGGGAAATGAGGCGCGTTCTGAATAATGCCCTGAAGTGCCTCAAAATGCATGCAACCCCAAGGTGCCCATGGGCCAGCGTGTGACTCTATGCTCTAATGCATGTGGCTGTATGAAATGTTTCCCGATTGCATGTGCTGTTTGCAGGGTGGAGTAGAGCACATACGCCCTCCTGCATGCAAGAGACATGGCCGTCTGACGCCATACTGACACTCTATCAAGCCTGCCTGTAACGCATGGGGGGAATCTGTTGACTGTGCCTCTACTGTGTGTGCCTGTATTGCAGGGTGGAGCAGAGCATATACGCCCTCCTGCGCACGAGGGACATGGCCATCTCTCGTTACGCTGAGTTCGGGGTGCCCACCTACTGGATTCTCGACAACGGCATTGTGGGCAAGGTGAGAGGAAGTGATGAGGCGAGATAGCTCCTCACTTGCCATGAGTTCGCTGTGCCTCCTATGCACGTGTCATGAGTTCGCTGTGCCTCCTATGCACGTGTCATGAGTTCGCTGTGCCTCCTATGCACGTGTCATGAGTTCGCTGTGCCTCCTATGCATGTGTCATGAGTTCGCTGTGCCTCCTATGCACGTGTCATGAGTTCGCTGTGCCTCCTATGCACGTGTCATGACTTCGGAGTGCCCATGTACTGGATCCTTGACAACGGCATCATGGGTTAGGTGAGCTGAGGGGAGGTGAGAGGAACAGAAGGGGCAAGCATGCAAGTCCTTGTGTGCTTCTCTGTACATGTCTTGGCTCCTCCACGCTACGCTGAGTTCGGGGTGTGCACTTACTGGATCCTCGACAACGGCATTGTGGGGAAGGTGAGCTGAACAGATCGGGGCTTGCTCGGTGGAGAAACGTGGGCTATCAGAGACTGGTGGTAAGGTGTGTGACGTGATAGGGTTTCGGGTTTAGGGTTTAGGATGCCCACCCACTGGAGAGCGAGCCAATCTCCTAGTCCAACCCGTGCTTTCTCTACCCTCCATGCTATCCTCCCTCCCGTGCCGTAACACAGATCCGCCTGGCCTCGGTGCGCCTCGCCCGCTGCTACATCACGCGGGTCACATCAGAGCTCGACAAGCTGGGCGACGAGCCCGAGAGCGAGCCAATCCGCGAGTTTCTTCTGCTGCAGGCCGTGCGCTTTGCCTTCCGCACGCACCAGGTGGGTTGTTCCAGTCATCGCTACTGCCTCTGCCGCCGCTGCCACCGCCGCTGCTGCTGCTGCCGGCTATGCAAGAATGAAAGGCCCACCTGCAGGTTTCTGATGCTGCCAGCTCTGCGATTGTCCTTCCGCAACTACCACGGGTAGTGTAGATCGATGCAGGTGTGAAGAGGTGGGATCTGGTGCAGGTGGAATCTGGTGCAGGTGGGGTCTGGTGCAGGTGGGACCTCAAAAGGTGAGATCATTGTTGTCTGGTTGAAGTTAGACTGTCAACTCCCTTCCCTCACGCCTTTACTTCGTTCTCAATCCACCTGTAATGAGTCGACTAAAAAATCGACTCATTACACACTTCGTTCTCAATCCACCTCCCGTTTTGTTGTCATTCCCATAATCCCATCTTCAGTTGTGCCTAAAAAAAACTCCCGATCTGCTGCCCATCTTTTGGTCATTCCTGCCTTCTGGGGGTTGATGCGGGCACACTTGAGTCAAGTCAAAACCACGCCATTCCCAATCTCCCCCCCCCCCCCCCCCCCCCCAACCCACCCACCACCCTTCCCCCCCGCTTTGTTGCCATTCCTGTCATCTGTAGTTTGCTGGAGGGTTTGACGCGGAGAGGATGCGAGCGCTTTTGAGTGGAAGTCAAAACCACGCCATTCCCGATCCCCCCGGCCCTGCTTTGTTGTTTCTGTTCCTGCCTTCTGTTGCTAGCGCAAACTTTTGAGTCGACTCAAAAGGTTCCTGTCTTCTGCTGCTAGCGGAAAGAGGGTCGGACAGACCGACACGGAGTGCTTGCGGCGCCTTTTAGTCGACTCAAAACCATACCATTCCCACCCCAACCCCCGTTCCTCTTGTCATTCCCGTCTTCTGCAGTTTGCCGGAGGGTTTGATGCAGAAAGCATGCGTGCGTTTGATGAGCTTCGGGCACGGGCCAATCTTGGGAGCAGCAGCAGCCTTGGCCCTGCTGCTCCTGCTGCTGCTGCTGCTGCTGCTGCTGATGCTGCTGATGTTGATGCCTCTGATGCTGCTGGTGCTGGTGCTGATGGTGTTGGCAGTGCAACTGCGGTTGCTGATACCAATGATGCAAGTGCTGGTACCAATGGTGGGGGGGTATTGCCAAGTGAGGAAGCTGGAATGGCTGATGCAGGTGCATCGGAACTTCTGGTTGATGCTTTGGCAGTTGCTGTTGATGTGGATGGCACAGCCGATCACGACGCTGAAAAGATCTAGACTTCACATGCTATATACGAATGAAGTTGGTGCTGGAGTGACATTGCGGGTGGATTAATAAGCTAGCTGTGTGACATCATTTTTATTCAATTTGGTAGAGATTTGGAAGAATGCAACACGTATTGAGAAATTTGAAGTTGAGCACAACGTGCATCATTTATTTACCATGCGAATGTTGCTTGTAGGGCGTTTGGACAAGGGTGCTGGTAAAGCGTATTCTGTGTCAAAAAAATCAGGAAAATGGCACTTCGGATGGAGGTCCTGGGCGGTCAGGGGCGGTCAGCGCCCCATTCCAGCCAACCACGCTCCCGAGTCGCGAGATTCAACGGGGCTATGTTTGACGAACTGAGGGTTGCCACCTTTCTCGCCCAGCTTCTGTGACAGCTGGTGGTTGGGAATCCGTGTAATGTGTCTGCCCGAATCCGTGTTCTTCTGCTGCAGGATTTTAGTAGTACGGATTGACCTTGTGCTAAACCCCGAAGCTTGCCCATCCAAACCAGTGGATCGATTTCTCCCATATCTTCCGGGCGTAACTGGTGTGCAGTAGAGAGCAGATACAATTGTATATTCTGGGTACATCCAGAATGAAACCAATCATTTCGGGTACCTCATCCGGGCGCAACCCTGCTTGCGGTGTTGCGGTGTTCCAGGGATGAAGGATGCGATGCGAGTTCGACACCTGTCAGTGACCCACACAACGCACACCACATTCCCCAAATCCAGGGGAGGTTGTGCAACCAGGTGTGAGGTTTCAAGATTTGTCGTGCACCAACGAAGTGATTTTTTTTGTACGTTACGACAGCGGATGACAGACTGCACTCTGAACAGCTCGAAGTGTAATGTTCTTTATTATATTAGAAACAATTTTCTATGAGTTATTTCGATTCATGTTTCATAATACACCTAACCCGCGGTATTTTTACACCTAGTATTTTCACACCCTATGTCGCATAGTGGGGCGGTCAAGCTTCAACAGTTCGGGGCGCACTGAAATGGGGGGCCCCAGGCCCGCGAGAGAAAGTGCCACATGAATAGGCTCGGAATTGGTGACGACCTATCGATTTTTGTGGCTCTGCGCACAGGAGCGCGTCATTAGGGGGGAGCAGAAACGAGACTCGCTTCTGGAAGCACCGACAGAACTGTAGAGCTGCCACATCGGAGTTGACCAATTCAAATGAAATCAGCAGCATGCCTTCTAATTGGCTCGATCAAAATACACCCAATGAACGCACGAAATTTGGGCGGTGCATTGAAATTCCAATCCAGCGCGACATTTCGACCAGGGGAGCCTCGGTTGCGCCAGCGTGGCACCTTTTTGGTTCGGTGGATTACCCCTGTGAAGATACTGGGGCGTTTCGCGCCCCAGTAACTTCACACTGTCAGGATACGCCAAACGTTTGCTATCCATTTTCAGGGTGTAAAAATACCGCGGGTTAGGTGTACTAAACTAGTAAAAGTGATGCAATAAAATCGTGTCTTGCCTTCAGGCCATTTGCCAGCCTCTGAGTTTGTATTCTTCGCACAGTGATCGTGCAGGTTGGATGAGCACGAGATCCTTTTCAGTTTGGATGCGACGAACTACGCGTCATCGTCAATGCATTCCTCCCCTATCCCATCCGAGAATCGAGAATCCAGATCCTCAATTCTTCCGTGCACAGCGGTGTTGTCAGTCTCTGTCAGCTGTCAGGGCTAACCCCGTCGAGTCAGCAGCACCCCCCAACCCCCCAACCCCCCCCCCCCCCCCCTTTTTTTTTTTTTTTTTTTTTTTGGGGGGGGGGGGGGGGTTGCGGAGCAACCTATTGCAATCGATCGGGCTGGTTTTTTTTTTCAAGTTTCAAAATCAAATGTTTGTTGTGATGGAAATAAAACATTTTATGTATAATAAAGTCTCATCATGAAATGCTCCGCAACCCTAAGATGATCTCGTCGCCTCTTGTTTCTTTTTCACCTGAAGCACTGCCAGCCGCTTTGCACGTTCACCTTTTCCCCAACCTTCGACATGCCTTCCGTCCTGGACTTCTGTTTCCAGTAAACTCAGACTTCCACCAATCAAATGCGTTAATCTCTCCCACGCACTAGGAAGGAGGAGTCAGTGGTTTGTCATGTCAACGCTGTGCCTCGTCCAATCAAACCGCAAGTAACCTCCCGCACAGTCTCCATCAGGGGGAACTTGACCAAACTGAAGCAGAAGAGCTCCACGAAACATACAGTAACCTCCGCCTCCGCTTCCCGCAAGGCAACCCCTTTCCCTCGAAGTTCCCCCACCGTGGATTGCCTTGTTTGTGCGGTGCATCTTGCGGTTGCGACACCCACCACGACTTCGACCGCAATTGCAGGTTGCGTCCAGCTATGTGATTTGTCGAGGGAAATCCTTGCCCAGCTGACCCTGGCTAGGGCATCAAAAATATCTTAGGGCGTGTCCAAAGTGGGATGTCGAGTTTTGTTGACGGATGTCGTCGGATGTTTGAAGGGGAGTGAGGGCGTGCACAAACTGAAGACGGATGTTGAGCTCAACATCCGCCGACATCCGCAGCACCACATCTGGTACTTTGGACGAAAGTGCCTTGAATCTAGACGCTACTGTAGTGAGTATCTGACGGAACTCAGTAAACCATAATTTGGTTCTTGCAGCTATCAACGTGGAATACACTCCTTATGAACTGGGCATGAGAATTATCTTTCAGAACCAATGAAGATGACGAGGAAAAAATCAAGCACTTCTCAATGACAACTCCTCATTCAACTGGGCAAGCTGGGCTGAGCTGTTGATGGCTGGATGGAACGGAAACGAGTCCTTCGACGACGACCGTACTGTCGCACAGCCCCCGCCAAACCACTCTTCTGACAAGCTGTGGCGGAGACTTGGCTGAGGGCGGCTGGGTCTGATATAAAAGCGCGTTTGCGGAGAATGGGGGCGGGGGAAGGAGAGGGAGGGGGGGTGAGCTACAGCACAACCCGCCGTTCCCCTCCCCCACAGTTCTTGAAATTCCCCCACAGTCGCAGATCTGCCTAATGACCTGACCGACAGTCATGCCCTTCTGGAATCCGGAATGCCCCTGGACTGGAACATAGCAGCAGAGCGTTCGTTTCCATCCCCGCCCACTGGCCGTGTCTGTCCTTATCGGACGACTTTTAGAAGTGAGGACAGCCTCTCAAATCGGAAAGGTTTTTGTTTCCCCCCGAATGAAGACTCTTTTTCTTGCGTTGCATTCCGCTCAGGGCTCTCGCTAGTTTTTTTTCGCCATCTCGGACTATCCGGGCTCCTCAGAAAATCGCTCTGTAGAATCCGACCTCGTAATAAAACTACCCTGATTCTTCAGGGTCCGTGCTGAACAAGGCCTGATACGTGATAACCCGTCTTTGCTGGACAGGTTTGTGAGGGTGCCAGTGGGCGACTTCGGTGTGGGAAACGGGGCTTACGTTAGGTTTTTGAACAGCTCTGGCGCTCATGGCTCCCTTCGAATTTCATCCTGAAAACTCAGGGTCTGAATCTGAACTGCTCTGTCTTTTCAGGGCCAGCCGAAAAAAATGCTCGGAGGGTGCACATTTTCAAAGAGTCTTCTTGAGGTTGTTCCACGCTCTGCGGCTCATCGGAAGTACTCCTTCCCAACTACAGTTATTCCCTGGTAGCTGGGTCCTAGGAAGAGTGACGGGGTGTTAGGGAGTAGGAGAAACTCTACTGGGAGGGCACAAGGAGGGGAGGGTGTGGGTAGTGGAAAAAATACGGGTCGCGAAACACTCTACTCGGATTTTCCAGGGTCGCCTTGAGACCTTCCCGATTTTTGTCAGGGTTTGGTAAAACCGAAACCCGAAGAAAATCAGGGCTGGTACTGAAACTACCTTAGAATTTCAGTCAAGTCAGGAAAAATGCCTTTGTAACATATGCCCTGGTGGGAAACCCGCCCCCTCACCAGCACCTATGCTGCAGATGAATCACGCACGTGAAGGTGCTACATTTAGGCTAGGGGGCTGGGAAGAAAGGGGGTTTGGTGGGAGGGAAGGGGCGAGTTTGAGTGGCGTGAACAGTTGTTCCTGGCAGCTCATTTTAAAACCGACCGCTAAACTGAGGGCGTGTTTTTAATATGTGTCATCTCATCCGAGAATGCTGGAGACCCATCGCAACCGTTGAAGGTTTGAAATAACGGTTGCGATTGGTTTCCAACATTCTCGTATGACACTCTCGGGATGAGACCTACTAAAAACAGCCCTCAGGGAAAATAGGCACGGCAGAGTGGAGCAAGGGGTTAATGGGAAGAACGGGAAGTTTGACAGATTCCGACACCCCCTGGAGGCTACCTGATGTCCGGGCCCCCTCAAAACCGCCCCGGACTCCTACCGGTCAGTATATAAATCCCCCTGATTCTCTCAGGGCTGGCTTGAACAAAGTCCTAGAAAAAACAGGGTCAGACTAAAAAAAACCTTGGATTTGCAGTGAAGTCAGGGTAATTACTCTGTTAACGTGTGCCTTGCGTTACAGTGTGCTCTGCTGCTTTGCATTTCAAGCAGTCGCAGGATTTGTCGAAGGGTGAAACCACGCTGCCCTGCTATTTCTCTCTCTCACTTCACGCACATACGACAGTGGCGGACAGAGGGGGGGAGGGGCGCGGCACCGCACCACTCTGTGGGCCTGCTAGGCTGTTGCTTCCCATTTCTGCTGTTCGCTTTTCTTTCGCGTTTCACCTTGTTTCACTCGCTTCGCGACATCCAATCCCATCCCACGCGTGACCAGCTTATGCATTCGAAATGCCTCCTGAGCAGCGGCGACATTTCACAAGCACCTGAGTTGCTCATTCTCCTCGCCGCCCCGTCTCTCCTCTCCTTCCATTTCGAGCAGTCTTAGCTCTCAGGAAACCCCCGCGGCGCCATTCACCTGGGCTCACCTTACTCGACCGTCCATCAGATCTTACATTCTTACTTTGGAAAAGACGTGCAAGTAGAAAAGCGCGGGTCGCCGCGGCGCGTCCATCAATCACGCTTTCAAGATCCCGCTAAAACAGCGACCGACCTCCTTCAATCGTGCTTTATTAATCTACAAGCCGCACCGTGCCTCGCGGCGGCGATCAGGCTGTGACTTGGAGCCATAACCAAGAAGACTCGGGTCGGACCCTACGTCATCATCAACGTCATCATTTGTCATTGTCGAGGCATGTCTGCCTGTCTCCAAGACTCGGACTTCGCGATGCGGGATCGTCATCACGAGTGTGGTGGCCACGTTCGCAAACATCTTGGGCGACGGGATGACGATGTTCGCAGCGGCAACTCCGCTCAAACCCAAATCCAGCTTGAAGCCCGAGGCGGCTCGTCGAGCTCCGCCAGGATAGCGGCCAGCTGCGCCACCACTCTCACCGCCGCAGCTTCCGCTTCCGCCGCCGCCGCCGCCGCCGCCGCTACCGCCGCTGCCGCCGCTTCCGGCGCCGCAGCGGGCCATCAGGCGATGCCTAGCGCTTCCTCGCCGCATTCTGCGCCGCATTCCGCGGCGCAGCTTCCGTCGCCGAGCAACGCGGCGAGGAAGGTCCATCAGGACGGCCTGCTGCTCCGAGCCGCGGCGCGCCTGACGGAAATCGTCCACGCTGACGGCTACTGCTGGCTGAAGTACGGCGAGAAGCGCGTGACGGAGAAGTCCCTTCTCCGGTAAGCCAGCCTCCGCGATTCGCTGCTAAAGCGGCAGCATCCTGTTATCTAGTTCCGACTGACTACTTCGGTGCGACTATGATGTCGGCATTGCAGGGTCAGCTATGGCGGCGTCTGACCAAACGAAGCCTCGCTTTCCGTTTTCCCCGTTCCCCTACTCCTCCCCCCACCCCCTTTCTTTTCCTTCCCCCCCTCCTCCCCCACCTCAGCTCCTACTGCAGGTGCGCGCCGTGGTCAACGAAGAAGGTCGTCGTCGACCTGAATCCCGATCAGCCGCTCAACTCGTTGCTTCCTTCCCCGTCTGTTCCCCCCCCCCCCCCCCCCCCCCTTCCACGTCCTCCCCGCAGCTCCTGCTACAAGTGCGTGTGGTCCGAAGCCGCCGTGCCGTGCCTCGCATCGCGCACGCAGCACTCGAGCGCGCCCTTACATCCCTAGCCCTACGAAGAAGGTCGTCGACGTGAATCCGGACCAGCTGCTCAACTAATTATTTCCGTTCCCCTTCCCACCCCCCCCTCCCCTCTCCCTCCTTCCCCCTCCCCCCTCCCCCCTTTCCCCTTCGCCCCCCCTCCTTCCCCCCTTCTCCCCTTCTCCCCCCTCTTCCCCGCAGCTCCTACTACAAGTGCGTGTGGTCCAAAGCCGCCGTGCCGTGCCTCGCAAAGAAGGTCGTCGACGTGAACCCCGATCAGCCGCTCAACTCGCGCACGCAGTACTCGGGCGCGCACAACCACGCGGAGACCGGCGCAATGCCCAAGGACCTGCGCGGCGGAAAGTCCCCCGGCGCCGCCGCCGCCGCCGCCGCCTGTGGCGGAAAGTCCTCCCCCATCGAGCCGCCGCTGCCTTCGCCCTCCGCCGCCGCCGAATCCGCCGCGTCACCCGCCGCGCTGCCCTCCACGCACCGCCGCATCCGCAACCGGTGGAACCCGCAGGACCCGGTTTGCGTCTCCGCTCCCGTCGCCGCCGCCATCGCCGCCGCGATTCCCGCCGCCAGCGCCGCGGTGGACTGCGAGATGACCGAGCCGCGCCAGTCTGGAAACGCCTGCGACTCGGAGAAGCCGATTCGAGCGAAAACGAGCCAATCACCGTCGAGGAACGGTTTTGACGCTCCCTCTCGGTCTGCTATCGCGTCGCCCGGTCACAAGCGGTCGAGCAGTGATGACGGATGTGACAATAATGAGTATGCGTGTTTTATCGAGGCGAAAGGACGCTCCGCGCCTAAGAGGCGGGCCGGCTCGATGGAGGGCCTCACGGTGTGGTCGCCTGTCGGCGCAGCCAATCAGGAGCAAGGGATGGGACGGTCGACGGATTCCGTCAGTGCCAAGGCTAACGTTAACGTTTTCCGTCAACCGCAAAATCAGCAGCAGCAGCAGCAGAAGGGTGACTACAAGCCGATTCGCGTGACGGATCCTGGTGGCAACTCGAACCCCGCGGCATCACCACCACTCACATCCACGGCAGACGATAACGTCAACGTCAACGTTAACGTCAACGTGAGCGGCAACGCGAACGTTAATGGGCACGCGTCGTCCGGTATGGTAGAGTGCGACGCGCTAGCGTCGCCCCGGGGGGGGCCGGCGGCGACATGCGAGGGCGGCGCGGCGGCTGGTGTGTTCTTGAGTCCGTTGCAGGCGAAAAAGAACCGTTTGAAGCTGACTCAGTTACAGACGGAATTCGATATAGTCACCGGCGACGAACCTGAACCGCTCGTTCTTCCAGCTGGCGAGATGGGCCACGTCAGCAGCGCGCCAGCCGCGCCCACCGGTCGGAGCGAGTCGCGTTTCTTATCCCCCCGCGGTGCGATTCCCCCCTGCGACCCGCAAACCGCCAGCGCGATTCGCCGTTGCCCCATCACGCCACGTGGCGCCGCCGCCGCATCTCCCGCCGGCGCCGCCGCCGCGAGTTTCTCGTCCGCGTCTTGGGATGCGTTTCCTAGCCCTAGTCTAGGGAACACTGCAACACCCACTACTGCGAATAGCGGGGCTGCTAATAAAGGAGGATTCCCCGGATTCGCCCCCGCCAGCACCCCCACTAGTGCGTATTGCCCCCCGCAACAGCTTCCGCTTCCGCTTCCGCTCCCCTCTCCGCGCGCGCACTTTCTGCCAGCGCCTCTTCCTTCCCCGCGCGCGCAAATCTCCGCAGATCCCTTCCCCCTGCCCAGTCGCAGTCCGCGCGCTGGTACTAGCTGCGGGAGCGGGGCTGGCGGGGGGATTGGCGGAAGCAGCGCAGGCGCAAACGCAGGTGCTATAGGCGCAGGTGCTGCGCGGATGAACAGCAGAAGCAGCAGCGGAATCAGCAGCGGAAACCCCTCAGGGGCTCCGCATGACCTCTCCCCCTCCCCTTCCGCCCTCCTGCTCCCCTCGCTAACCGCGCGCCTGCCAGCCCCCCAATCTTCCGCCAAGCTCCCCCCCCCTTATCCGAACCCCTCCCCCGCCGCGTCACCCAGTGGTAACCACTCCAGCGCTGTGACTACAGCCTTAGGCCCGGTGGTAGGCTCGGCTCTAGGCTCGGCGCTAAGCTCGGCGCTAGGCTCGGAAACTGGCGTAGGGAGGCTCGCTGCAGAGCTTTGCCGTTTGCAAGGCAGCAGTAACAGTAACACTGGTGCTGGAAACCACAGTGGCGCTGGTAACCACAGCGGTGCCGGTAACCACAGTGGGGCTGGTAACAACAACGGCAGTGGTAACCATGAAGACGGTGGTAACCGGGAGCAAACGCTAGTGGCTTTGGCGACGGTTGTAGCAGCGGTGGCGATTGCGGCTCAGAATAAGCAGAAGAGGGAGGAGGAGATTCGGCTGCAGCAGCAGAGGCAGCATGAGGAAGAAAGACAGAAGCTTCTGGGTCTGTTGAGAAAGTATCAAGTGCTGCTGCAGAAGCAACAAGAGGAGGGACAGCAGGAGCCGCAGCAGACACAGCAGCAGGAGAAAGAGCAGCAGCTGAAGCACCAGCTGCTAAAACAGCAGCAGTTGCAGCAGGAGCAGCAGAAAGTGCAACAGCAGAAGCGGGAGGAGGAGAGGGAGAGAATGAGGAAGCAGAGGCAGCAGCAGCAAGAGATTCAGCAGCAGGAGCTGCAGCAGAGGCGGTGGCAACAGGAGCAGCAGCAGCAGCAGCAGCAGCAAGAGGTTCAGCAGCAAGAGCTGCAGCAGCAGCAGCAGCGGCAACAGGAGGAGCAAGCGAAGCGGCTTCTGCAGCAGTTGCTGCTGCTACAGCAGCCGAAGCAACAGCAGCAACAAAAGCAGCAGCTGCCACAGCCGCAGCCACAGCCACAGCCGCAGCCACAGCCCCAGCCACAGCCACAGCCCCAGCCACAGCCACAGCCGCAGCCACAGCCCCAGCCACAGCCACAGCCGCAGCCACAGCCCCAGCCGCAGCAGCAGCAGACGCTGAACACTACTGCCCCTGCCGCTGCCACACCTCATCCCATCACCACTGAAGCCGACAGCAATGCTGCTAGCATCAGCCTCCTGCTAAAGCTCCTATCCAGCAAGCTGCAAGGGCAACAGGTGGTAACACCCGTAACTGACACTACTGACAGCAGCAGCATGACTGCTTCGAGCACCGTCAGGCCCCCTCTCTCCCCTCAGCTCTCCCCCCATGCTGCTGCTGCTGCTGCTTCCCTACCCCCGCCGCCACTACCGCTTCCCGCTGCCGCTGCCACTGCCACTGCTGCTCCTCTTGCTTCTCCTTGTGCTCCTCCTCCCCCTCCTCCTCCTCCTCCTCCTCCTCCTCCTCCTCATCGTCCTCCTCCCTCTCTCGCTCCCTCGCACCAACCCACCGGACCCATCCCTTCTCTACACGCTCTGTTGTTGAGTCTGTGTCAAAGGGAGCTGAACAGTAGTCCTGCTGCAAGTCCTGCCAATCCATGCCGCTCGGGCAGCGGCACGACTGTCGGGAACGAGGCCGTTTCTGGCACTGGCGCTGGGTGCACGCCTGCTGAGCTGGCAGCTTCTGCTGACCTGGCAGAGGCTGCTGACGTGGAGCTTGAGGATGCAACCGAGCCAGCTGGCAAGTCGCTGGTTCAGCTGGATCAGAACACTCCAACTGACAAAGATCCTGTGACGGAAAACTGCCAAGATACTGACAACTGTCATGTCACTGACAACTGTCCTGTAACAGACCCTTGGGCCTGGTTACCAGCTGGGGCTGATGCCATGGAGTTTGAGGCAGCAGAGGGGAGTGGAGCCCTTTCCCATGTGCCGCCTACCGCCGCTGCTGCCGCTGCTGCTGGCGCTGGCGATGGGGATGCTGCCGATGGTGCTCCATCCAATAAATATAGCTCGCCCAAAGAAACCGCAGCATCTGATGTGGCGGGTGCTGCTTCAGATAATGCTACTGTTGAGTGGGGCATGGGACATGGACATGCTTACAATAATGATACCGCTCAGTATTCCCATCCGGCTGCTGCTGCTGCTGCTGCTGCTGACAGTGGTAGTGCAGCAGCTGCTGCTGGTGTTGATGTTGCCACTGCTGCTGCTGCTGCTGGTGTCGGTGGTGCTGCTGGTGGGGCAGCACACCAGCTCTCTCATCTCGAGGGTCTGCTGGACTGCAGTCAGCCTCTCCTGGACATGTGTGCAGCCAGCGACTTCTTCAGCCTCAAAGACCTTTTGGCAGATTTCTGAGTCGACTCAGAAGTCTGCTGCTGGTGCTGGTGCTGCTGGAGGTGCAGACGGTGCTGCTGCCCCTGGTGTTGCTGACGGTGTTGCTGCTGGTGCTGCTAGGAAAGGGTTTTAGCTAGGTAGGCAAGAGTAGCGAGAGAAAAAAAGGGGTTTGACTAGCCACGAGAGAGGTACCAGAAGGGGGTTGTCCTCTCTACAGTAGGAACCAGTACTTTGTAGTACACCTACCTAGCCTACACACACATATATATATATATATAATATGTAAATATACATGTGTTGACACACCCCCTAGGCTAGGTAGGCGCTACGCACAGAAGCAAGAGACCAGGGCAGCACTACTAGTCAAAGTTAACGAATGACTAGTACCATGGCATACAAGGTGTTGGAAATATCTCAAAGGACTTCAACAGTATTCTACAACTGCTTTACTTTCCCACTTTCTATATATTACTGTATGCTTGTTCCTTTTAATCAATCACTTGTTCTCACATACTAGTACAAGGGTTCAACTACTCAACTTCCGCTGCACTACTCAAGTCTCTCTTTTACAACTGGGACTTAGTCTCTGGAAAGATCCTAAGGGCATTTCTCAGCCCAATAAAGTACAACCCACTAGGTTATATTCCCTTGTGTTGGGCTGAGAAAAGCCCTTAGGATCTTTCCTGAGACTAAGTCCCAGTTGTACAAGATACTTGAGTAGTGCAGCGGAAGTTGAGGCAGTTGAACCCTTGTACTAGTATATGAGAACAAGTGATTATTTAAAGAAACAAGCATACAGCAATATATAGAAGATAAGAAAGCAGTTGTAGGATACAGTTGCAGGAGCGATTTATCGAGTCGCACAGCGACTCGATTGTCGCTTTGGTTACCATCCTTGCAGTTGTAACGGTCAGTCGCAACCTCTGGTTGCGACCCTTCGAGTACTTTCGTGTTCTTTGTCCAACCCCTCGTGTAACCTCCGTTGACTCGCGTACCCGTTACGATCTTCTTCGAGTGTGGTGTTACACTTCAGAAACGCTTACCGTAATCCCCCGTATAAAACACCCGCCGGAATTCAGCTCCCCCGGGTAGCTTGAGCGGGTATGGGTGTTTAATTTAACTGGATTTAGTTACCACCCTACCCTTGGCCTTGAAAACATTTCACCACCCCCCCCCGAGATGAAAAAACGTTTTTTTCTACGTTTTCCTGTATACAACTTCTTGAATTAGACGTTAGCAATACAACTAGAGTACACGTAGTTACTACTCAACAGAATTAACCATAGAACTAGTTAGTGGCACCACCTAGGGCTTGAATTCTACCTATTGGCTCTGCCTAGAACCTAAATTATCCACTACACTTTAAATCCTTACACTACGCCAGATACTCATGCCTCTGCCACTGCTCTAGTCGTCCTCCTCAGGCTCCTCATCACCAGCCTGCCACATCTCGACGTCGCTCCCATCTGCAAGCTCATCCCACCAGCAGTTGTCGTCATCCTCCTCTGCAATGCCTTCTGCCGGCCACACATCAACACTTGCTGCTGCTGCTGATGCAGTCTCTGCATTGTCTGCGCTCGTCTCAGCTGCTTCGGTTGCCGCTTCAGCACAGTCGATGTCGTCAGCCGCCAGCGACGCCGCATCCGCCTCTTCGTCGTCGGCGACGTCCCCGTCCACATCGATGAAGGCGTCGTAGAGGGGGTTGATGTAGCCGCTCTCGCCCTCCTCGACGTGGACATCGTCCATCACCTCGAGGTCGGGCTTGCCGCGGAGGTGGCGGAGAGCGAGGTTGTCCTCGGTGCCGTCCAGCGCATTTGATATACCGCACGTCTTGAATGAACTACGCACGAGCTCCTCTGGCACAGCCTCCCATGACCGAGCAATCCATTTCAAGATGAGCTCAGCCGGGGGCTTCTTCAGATTTCCTGCACATGGGATGGGAGCATAATGGGAGGAGAAGAACACGGGCACGGTAAGATGACGACTAGGAACGGGCACGGTGGAATTCGTCAACAAGCAAGAAGTCTAAAAACTACTGAGGAAGCGACTAGGAAGGGGCTCACCTGCCGCAGTCTTCATGTCGATGCCGAACTGCTCAAACCATGCGCCGTAGTCGCCGCGCACGCCGGCCTTGAAACTCTTGTTCACTGCGACGTCCAGCGGTTGAACGAGAGGCGTGCAACCACCTGGGATGACCGCGCGGGTAAGTTTGCACAGCTTCATCGTCTGCCCGACTGCTTGCGTGAGGTGGCCCTTGTACGAGTCTAGGATGACGAGCGCCTCCTTGCGCCTATTCCCCGATTCGCGCAGCGGGCGCAAGAACGGGTTCAGGACTTGAGTAGTCCAGTCCTGGACAAGCTTCTCGTCCATCCAGCCCTTCGGCTGGGCTCGGATGATGACACCTGGATACAATCACAAGCCACAACAACAGTCAGAGGGTATGCATCGGTGTACACTATACACAGAGCGAAAAGCAAAGGCGATTCTTACCCGGGGGAACCTGAATCTTTGGCAGCGTCTTCCGCTTGAAGATGACATACGGCGGGAGCTTCAATCCCGACGCGGTGACTGCCAACATGACGGTGAGCCGCTCCTTTTCATAGCCGGCCGTCCTCACATGCACCGTACGGGAGCCTCTGTGCTCCAACGTCCTCTCCTGGGGCATTTCGATGAAGAGGGGGGTTTGGTCGGCGTTCACGATGTGGTCGAGGTTGTACCGGTTGAGAATCCGCATCTGTTTGACAAACTCCCAGAATTTCTCGATCTTCGTCCTCATGTCTGCATAGAACAAAACAGTCAGAGAACAAATTCAGGCATGAACACGCGATAAGCAAGACAATCAAAAGAATCAAATATTGAAAGTCGCGGCAAGGGAATCAATAACAAGGATGGGACGGCAGTTTACCGTCGGCGAGCTTTTGCCCCATCTTCGTCTTTACCCGACGCGTAAGGCCCCAGCGCGCGCGGAATCTGAACGTCCAGCGACTCGACGCTCTCCAGTCGACGTTGGGATGATGTACGCGCATGTACGAGCGACTCCACTTCTGCAGCAGCTTGACGGAGACGGCAAGCCCCCTCCCGCGGTGCCTCAGGAACTGTCGGTAGAGGGCGCTCTCCATCGTCGGGTACTTCGCGGGACGTCCGGCACCGACGAGGCGTTTGCGGCAGCCGGCGGCGACACGGAGGCGTTCGCGAGCATTCTTCCACTCCCGAATCGACACCGGCTGGACACCTGCAAGCTTTGCGAGTCCACGCACAGAGAGGTCGGGTTGAGCATCGAACATGGAAAGCCAGTACAACTTCTCCGAGGCAGAGTACGAGCGGCGCTTCCGCTTTGTCATCCTGCTTCGAGATGCGGGGGCATGGACATCGTGATTCAAGGTAGGACCACGGGGTCGTCGAATGGGCTCCGGGAAACTCGGCACGCTGACGCGCGGAAGGGGACGACGGCCTTCCGTCGTAGTGGCGTCGCCGCTTGCAGAATCTGTCGCAGCGGCGTCGCCGCTTGCAGAATCTGTCGCAGCGGCATCGCCGCTTGCAGAATCTGTTGCAGCGGCGTCGCTGCTTGCAGAATCTGTCGCAGCAGCATCGACGCTTGTAGAGTCTGTCGCTGCGGCATCGCCGTCGGCAAAGGACCGACGAAGTAAAAACGTCTGCTGGCCATAAGGGCCCTTTCGAGTCAGAAGGCGAGACAAGCCAGAGCCTGAGGCCATGGCGGGGGGACGTTACAGAGACGGAGCTAGAGGATGCCTTAGACAGCCCTTGCAGGGGCTGTCTTGAAGGCATCCTAGAGTCGAAACTGAAAATGAGAGGACGGAGCGGGGTAGACCCACTTCAAGAGTGGGTTGGAGGGGAAGGCAGGGACGTGGGCGACTCCCTCGTCCATGTCGCCCATGAAATGCCTCTCACGACCATCCAGAATGTGTGATTCCGTGCGCTGGCCGGTCGTGAGAAGGCATCGACAAAATGTGCCGTTGATTTCGCCACCCCATGCTGTGCTGGCACAGCGTGGGCTGGAGGCATCAACGTGGCTGCCTGCAGCACAAGCTGATTGGCTACTCTGGCAGCATACTGAATCAGCAGCGTACGTAGACGATGTGGCATGCACATGGACCAAATCGTTGGGTACGCGATCAGATAGCAGAATGGGACTCAGAACAATGCCCTGTCACAAGTACAGTTGAATTCAAATCAAAAGTAGCATATGCACATTCCATAACTCCTGGGTGCTGTATTTTTTTTGCCTTTAATTACACCCAACCCAAAATTTCGTTGCATTTTTATTAACACCATAGGGTGTTTTATACGGGGGATTACGGTAAGTCCTTGAGGTATTTCCAACACTCCCCTTCGTTTCTGGAGTGCTGACGTGCTCAGATTTGGTGACGTTTGTCTGTCCGGTCAGCAGCATGCAGTAATCGAACTTTGCCTTGGCCAGTTTCTTCGTTATGTAGTCTGCGGCCACTTCTGTCGTAGGGCAGTAACTGAGTTGAAGTCTCCCCTTCGCGATTTCATCCTTGATGAAGAAGTACCGCAGAGCGATGTGCTTGGTTCGATTGGCGAAGCCATCCTTGTTCGCGATTTTGATCGCAGATTGGTTGTCGCAGAAAAGTGAGAAGACGGGCAGGGTCGCAATCTTTGCTTCCTCGAGTAACTCTCGCAGGTAAAGTCCTTCCTTGGTCGCAGTGCAGAGGGCGATATATTCTGCTTCGGCCGAAGATAGTGCGATTAGTTCCTGTTTGCTCGACTGCCAGGAGATAGTCCCGATAGGCTCTAGTCGGTAGATGTAGCCCGTCCTTGATCGTCGATTTTCCCTGTCTCCCGCGTGATCGGCGTCGACGTATCCGGGCAGTTGTACGGACGATGTCGTTACTTTACTGTAGGTAAGTCCGGTCGTCGGCGTAGAGACGAAGTAGAGTAGTGGCCGATTTAATTCCTCGAGATCTTCTTGTTCTGGCTGCTTTAGATGCGTCGCCAGTTGGCTCGCGCTGTAAGATAGGTCCGGTCGGCAGGTTACTGCTGCGAATAGTAGGTAGCCGAGTTTCTGCTGATACTCCCGGATTTGCTTCGCGGGGAGTTTTGCGGAGGTGTCGTTGCTGTTCCCGTAGTGGTAGGGAGTCGTCACTGTAGTCGGTGTTAGTCCGAATTTCTTCGCGACAACACCTGCGTATTTTCCAGCGTATAGGTAGAGCGCCGAGTTGTCTTCGACGACGTTCAGACCCAGGTACTGGGTTACGGTGTTAGGCACCGTGAGTGTCAAGTCCT